ATTATATATTATGGTAAAAGGTTTACTATGAAATACAAAAGTACATATTTAACAATAATACATATGGCCTGCATTAATATATATTTTATACACTAAGTATAGTACTGTATAAACTGTTATACATACTGTACTTACAACCTGTAACTATATTTTAGAAATTCTAAATTCTGATATAGTCAAAATAAGAAATTAAGGAATGATATGTTTCCTTTGTAACCATAAAACAACAACTTTGCATAACTAAGCAAAATGGAAGAGGAGGCAGTCCTAAAAGAGGAATTAACAATTTACTGTACTTCTGACTTGTCCTCTTTCCTTTATGTCTAAGAATTATTAGCCAGCAGTAACTGGTTGGATTTAATGTAATTTCATGATCAAAAAGATATTATGCAGTTGATGTCACCTCGAAGAAAACTATAAAATCAGTGCTAGTGACTGATAACTTTACTCTACCTGTCATCCGATTAGGTGACAGCCTGGCTCTACTGAATGGACAGTACTATACTGTACTCCAAAAGTCTCCCTTCCCCCATACTGACTGCCTACCATTCCACTCCCAATTCCCTTTCACTCTTCTATTTCTAACGTGGTGATCAAGTCTTCCTTTTATGTCTAATATGGAGGCTATCTACTGTACTAATGTGGTTGTCACTCGAGGATCAACTCGTAGGTACTTCATATTCCAGGATATTTTGTCCCCTAACTCCCCTTGCCACTTCGGGGGGTATAGGGTTTTTATGTAGCTTCGGAGCCCGATCCCCCCAGCCACAGGGCATGGCAAGACGGACCCCTAAGCATACCTAATACCCTAACACACACAAACTAAAATAAACATATGGCAGATCTCATCACACCCACAAGAGTTAAGATGATACTAATACATAATAATAACCTGAAAATAAACAAAAACATTAATGGAAAATTCTTTTATAGTTGGTTTTTTCTATATGGGACACAGCACACATAGGTAGGGGTGCACAGTATAACATTTAAAAAAGAACAAACGCTGAAGGCCAAAGCAGCAGGCTGCCCAATCGGCAGGGATGATGATTTGACGTCGGCATACAGTACATGGAAAACTAGACACAGTGGATGCTCCTAACTAGGCCCCGGAGCGGGAGGGTTATCATGTATGCGCATGGGGTCCCTCCGGTCGCCGCCTTACCTACTCGTGGGCTCTGCCAGGTCATCCACCCTCTTGTGAGTCACCATTAGGAGAAGTGGTACTCCAGATGACGAAAAGCTTTGACCTTCATGCTGTTGCCTTTTACACTGGCATGAATGACATGATAATGTTATGGGACACTACAAATTTGTCCATTTGTTAAAGAAAAAAAAAGACAAGCTGCTTACAAGAAACTTTTGGATGGGAAGTATAACGCAAGAATTATATAGTGCAGGCTACACAAATTAAAAGATTAACAAACCAAGCCATTTTGTAACTCATGCACATCATCTAATGTTGGCACTGTTCCATATTGCACATCATAATACAAACCTGGCACCATTAGCTAGCTTATTAAAACTAAAATTGTCACTGTCATTCAGCAGTACAATTCTAATACAAGTATGGTGAGGCAATTATACATTTCCATTCAACCAAAAACAATCGATAATATAGAACTGTTTATATATTGGACCATGGAGGTGTCATTGGCTGTGGGTTTTGAAGGTAGGACATCACAACTGCAGAAATGGACAACCTGAAATGTTAATATAATTAGTAAATTATTTGTGACAAGCAAATAAAAGTATATTTGTTTAATTATGACAATTTACTTTGAAAATCAGAACTATTAGCCAGTAACAATGGGTTGGATTAATGTAATTTAAATTACATTCAATAACAAAAGACAATTATGCAAGTGTTGTCACCCTTAGGAAAATCATGAAGTCAATGCTATAGTGACTGACAAGTAAGCTCAGAAAACTACTGACAGGGCTCTCCCAAAAATAACAAATCAGATCAAGAGAGATTGTTGAAATACAGGGAATACAGAGAACATACTCAGCACACGAACACAATAAAGTACATAAATTATTGGGACCATTTGAAGTTCCCAAAATGTACTCTCTGGAAAGGAGAAAAGAGAGGCATCATGTACTGTATACATGGAAAATAACTGAACGCCAGGTCCAAAATTTGCACAATATTGTAACATTGTGGAGCGAACAATATGGTAGAAAATGCAGAATAGCGCAAGTGAAGAATAAAGGTGCCACAGGAACAATCATAGAACACTGTATGAATATCAAAAGCCCACGGCTGCTTAATATCCTCCCAGCAAATAAAATAAGTATGGCTGGAACAAAAGTATTTCTTCAAGAAAAAATTAGAGTTTCCTGCAAGAAGTGCTGGACTAACCAGATTGTAAGTGGGTATGTGGGCCTGCAGGCCACTCCAAGCAACAGTCTACTGGACCAAGATCTTGCACGTCATGCCTGGCCCGGGCCAGGATTGAAGAAAAGAAATCCCAGAACCCCCTTATCCAGGTACAAATCCAGATCCAGGTAATGAAATGCCTTTTTCAGGCATGTAGTCAATAGCTCACCTCCCAGTCCTGTTCTCTTCCCTATAGAATATTCGGGTACTGTATACAGTACTGTATAGAGATACATATATAGTGTAAATATGCAACCGCATAGTGTAAATATGCAACCACATCCCACAGGAGCAGCTCAAACAACTAGAGCAATGCTATCAAGGCAATCTTTGAAGACAACACAACCAGCTGGGAACATTTAGGGATGTTCCATTTGGCTCAACGAGTGGGGATGGCAGGCTAGCTGGGACTTTAGGTGACCTGACCCACCGTATGATGGTGGTCAGGCACATCATGGTTCAACCTGTCCTCTTGAAAATAACGCTTTTCGTTCGAATGCGTGCTATGGCCAAAAATGGACGTAATTTGAAATGAAATTGGCTCACGAAAGTGACTTACTGTTGCGTTTTCTGTAAGTCCTCTGGCTTACTCTGAAAGGTTAGGAGAGGAAACTTTCAATTAACGTTTTTCATAGCTTTTGAAACTTTAGGAAAATTTCCTGCCCTCCTAATCTACGAGAGGACCCTTAATTTAACTTACTGTTTTGAAACAAAATCCAAAATTTTTCATTTTATTTTAAAATTACGTCCATTTTCGGCCATATGGGCAAACGACCAAATTCAGACGTAATTTGTAAGAGGACAGGTTGCACAGTTAGGGTATTCACCCCGGAGCAATGTTTATTTGCCTTGCTTAGTACACAAGTTTTTGGCCTTGGGCAAAGTAAAGTATGTTAAAATGTGACGTGCTATGAGGCCAGGTTGTACCTTTATGGGTTTAGTAATACACAAATTTCAGAAGAAAATAAGATAAACCTTACATGAAGCTGCTGAGCATTTGTTTTGTATCGTCATTGACTCTCGAGTTGGCAAAGCTGATGCAGGAGCAGTATAGCGCAATCCAAGCACACCACTTCAGCTGCGAGTAAAAAATAATGAGTTCACTATAGAGTATCATTTATAACAACAATGTCTAAAATTTCTATAATCATAGTTTAAATAATACAGTATTTGGAGGATTAAAATTCATAACTTGAGTAGAAATCACATTCCTCAATATAAATATTACAAGATTAAAACCCTAAATAAGAAAATGATCCAAGATAAAGTCTGATATTATTTACTTAAAACATGTACTGTACTATATATGTGAAAATTAAGCATTGAATACTGTATAATTAAACATCTTTTTCTGGTAGGCCCTTGATTTACCCATCTTCCACCTGATGACAGCCCTACGGTTTCCCGAGGTTTCAATCAACTTGCCTAAAAGGTCAACACTTCAAAGACGAAGGGTGAACAGGAGCACTGTCCAGAGCGAACGATGCACTAGAACCCCTACCCCAGCCAGGAGATATGGATCTAAACATGGCCCAAAGCTGGATCCGAAGAACCCAACTGAAGCAGACTGAGGCTAAAATACTGCACTGCCAGCTAACAAAGATTGATCTACCTTCCCTTCCTGCCCAACCACTTGGGCTAGACAGTAGAGCGACGGCCCATTTTTTTGCAAGCCGGTGTTCAATCCCCGACTGTCCAAGTGGTTGGGCACAATTTCGTCCCCATGTCCCATCCCAAATCCTTATACTGATCCCTTTCAAATGCTATATAGTTATAATGATTTAGTGATTTCTCCTAATAATTCCCTTCCCTTCCCCTCCAGAAAGTAGAAAGAGTATAAAAAAGTGGCAAACCACAAGGAATACAGCTAAAAAGACTCCTGATGATCCAGAACTGCATGCTGGAAAGCACGACAGGCCGCATATAGTGTAAATATGCAACCACATCCCACAGAAGTAGCTCAAACAACTAGAGCAATGCTATCAAGGCAATCTTTGAAGACAACACAAATGGTGAAACCAGCTGGGAAGAACCCTGCTCTAAACACAATTACACTGAGAAGAGCTCCAGAGTTGCACAAAAACAGGGAGACCCTATGCCAAATGGATCTAAAATTTGTGGTCCAACATGATCTATTACAGTACTGTATGTACTTATCATTTCGACAATGGCATATGATAGAGCAATCATTGGCAAACTATTTCATTTAAAAATCATAACTACAGTATATGACAATTATTGGTGGGCCCATCATAACAATGACCAGGATTTACACAAACTCAACCATTCTTGATATAAATCTCAGTAAATTGAGGGTACTGGTAGTACAGTCGAGTTCGTTCTTGACTCACAATCTAGAATTCTGGGTTCAAATCCCAGGCAAGATAGAAATGGTGGGTGTGCATCCTATCACCTAATGCACCTGTTCACCAAGCAGGAAATAGGTACCCAAAAGTCAGTCAGCTTATTGTGGGGTTGCATACTGGGGAGGGTCAGTAATTAGACCCTGGGGATAGGGGGGGAACCTGGATACAAGCCTAACATGTACTGTATGTATAACCTGGCTGCCAGTCCTCCAACACAATGAATTATTATTATTAATAAATATTCACAAAAATTCATTTATGATGCATTTTGATTATGGCACATGATACTGATCACAGATAATTTGGTATTAAAATTATAGATGTACACACACACAACTTTATTGAAACCAAACATTCAAAATGAGAGAACTTTCTCACCATGCTTGAGAGAGGAAATGAGGAAGGGATAGTTTCACACCCTCCCTCCCTCTTCCCCCATGCCCAGCATTCAGCTGACTGTTGTTGCTTTGTCACACTTTTAGTTCACTTCACACTCATGCCATAAATTTTTCAGTAAAGTGAAAATGTTTTTGACTATTAATTACAATCTTCAGCACAATAATTACCGAATAATGGACATCCATGTTAGTCACAAGGGTTGAGTTGACGGTTCTCCAACCTCCTATCAATTAATGTATTAATGTATTTCCTGCCCGAAACGCTTTGCGTAATTAGTGGCTTTAGGCATTGTATGTACTAGCTCTATCTATAAAGCCAACAAACTTTGTAAAATCTCTTTATGTATGTACCTTTACCTAAATAAAAATTATTATTATTATTATTATTATCATGGGTTGAGTTGACAGTTCTCCAACCTTCTATCAATTAAAAAACTAGAAAGATCAGACCTATGTGACAGGTATCGAAGTATTATTAGTGTGACCCCAACTGTACACACAGACGATGGTGCAAGGCACATGGCACACTAGTCAGAATCAGACATAACACACACTAAAATACCCAGCAACAGGCCTGACTACGTGGACCGAGTCCCAAGCAGTACTGATGTAATGGCAACTCAAAAGGAGAAGCCCTGACTAGGACAACACCCAGAATCTTGAAAAATATTACTGGTGGGAATGGGTAATACAAACTAGCTACAAGGCAGAGAGTTGAGAAACTAAATCAGAATGAATAAACAGCTAAGGGCACACAAGATGGGTGCCTTAAACTGACAAGTGAAGCATGAATATGAACAATTCACAAAGCATGGCTCCCACAGAAAATGTTCCCATGAATGCCAACATCACTTAATGCAATAATACACAGTAGTTCATAAAATATGAGTTGAAAATAAAACAAAAACTGAGCAAGCTAGTGCCAGGATGAATAGGGATGATAGTGGTAGACAATAGGGATGATACCTTGGGCTTCAGAACAGACCCTATAATGCCAGAAACCCAAAACTTACTCTCATCATTAGACCACACATGCTGAAGATCATGCCTAGTACATTCATGTAGTCAGTAGTTGGATCTTCACCAGGGGCTCCTGGAGTCCCTTGTGCCGATGGTTTGTACCTGTCAATGGTCAAATTACATTATATTGCAGTTATTATGTATAAAAATGTAATATTAATGTATTATTATTATTACTGTATCAGTAAGGTGTTATTGATCAAATAAGTAACATTAAAGCATAAGAGTGAGAAGGAAAATAAAATGAATTCAATAAACACAGGTTTTATAATTCCCTTTGTAAGAAGCAAGAAGTGATTAGTTATGGAAAATCAGGAGAGAAAATGAGAGAACATTACAAATACAAACAACAATGAAATTCAATAATTACTGTACACAAACCCTCACAAAAGTAACACATTATTAAAAAAAAAAAAAAATACAGCACTGAATGTAATGAAACACCATTTTCTGGGTGAACCCAGAGGCTTCCTGGAGCCTACAAGGCTCTCCACAGAAAAGATCTTGAAAAGTTTATTTACTTGTATCGTACTGAAGTATGATTTCCCATTGGGACAGAAAGCCAGTTAGGTTTATCAATGTCCCCTCTAGGTCAACTACTAGTCTTTCCCAAGATGCAACCAACAATAGTTGCCTAACTCCTAGGTACTTATTTACCGCTAGGTGAACACAGGCATCGGGCAAAAGCAAACGTCCCTGTCCTGCGGCAGAAATCAATCCTGAACGTTTCAATTGCGAGCTGACTGTGTTGACCACTACACTACAGTATTTTGAGGTTATCTTGAGATGATTTCGGGGCTTAGCGTCCCCGTGGCCCAGTCCTCGACCAGGCCTCCTTTTTGTTACACCCCCCCAGGAAGCAGCCAGTAGCAGCTGTCTAACTCTCAGGTACCTATTTACTGCTAGGTAACAGGGGCATCAGGGTGAAAGAAACTCTGCCCATTTGTTTCCACCTCCACTGGGGATCAAACCCGGAACCTTAGGAATACAAATCCAGAGCGCTGTCCACTCAGCTGTTAGGGCCCCCCGACACTACAATATTATTCACTACAATGGGTTATTTGTACAAATGAATCGTCATCATCTGTACATTCTTGTAAAGCCACTAACATGCATAGCATTTTAGGCAAATCTTAAAGCTAACACAAAATTTGCAGTGAATTTCAAATTATTGTACAAGGGAAACAGTTAATCTTAAGAGAACAAATCTACAAGGGGCCGTGACAAGAATTCGAACCTGCGTCCAAGAGCATCCCAGACGCTGCCTTAATCGACTGAGCTACGACATGGTATAAGAATTGCAACCAGAAATTCTTCTGAATTTACTTGGATCCTGCAGCCTCTCCGAGAGACAAACCAGGATTTTACACAATTCCCCCATGCACTCGAGCTATGTTAATAGGCCGTTCTACCTCTTCGCCCTTACTTCATTACACACAGAAATCACAATAGCGTGACATCTAAGCTAAGCTAATTGTTAAGTGAGAGGTAAGGTAGTAATAAGGGTGATGAGAAATGATGTTGCTGGAGTGCATATGTAGATAGTACAGCACCAGACGAGTAATTAGCACAATGTGGGATACTAAAGTGAAGACAATGGGTTAGGAAATTCCACACATTTGGTCTATATATGAGACCTGCATAGAGAATCTTAGAGATATTTCTGCAGTGATGTTCATGCAGAACATCAACATTCCTACCCCGAGCCCTACAAAGGTTCCCCAAGCCCGAGAGCCCATCTCAAACCCGAAAGAGCCCACCCCGAACCTGACCAGGAGTCAACCCTAAGCCCTACCAAGACCCCACCCCCAAGCCCTACCAAGACCCCACCCCCAAGCCCTACCAAGACCCCACCCCCAAGCCCTATCAAGAACCCACCCCCAAACCCTACCAAGAACCCACCCCCAAACCCTACCAAGAACCCACCCCCAAGCCCTACCAAGAACCCACCCCCAAGCCCTACCAAGAACCCACTACCAAGCCCTACCAAGAACCCACCACCAAGCCCTACCAAGAACCCACCCACAAGCCCTACCAAGAACCCACCCCCAAGCCCTACCAAGAACCCACCCGAAGCCGGACAGACACCCACCCGGAGCCCGACCAGTCAAACACCCTGAGCCCGCCAGTTTAGTAAACCGGAGACCGCCAGTTGAGTGAACCGGAGCCCGCCAGTTGAGTGAACTGGAACCCATCAGTTGAGTACCTGGAGCCCGCCCCGAGCCCTACCGAGAACCCACCCTGAGCCCGACCAAGAACCTACCCCGAGCCCTACAGAGGTTCCCGAGAGCCTATCCCGATCCCGAAAGAGCCCACCCCGAGCCCTACCAAGAACCCACCCCCCAAGATCTACCGAGAACCCACCCCCCAAGCCCTACCGAGAACCCACCCCCCAAGCCCTACCGAGAACCCACCCCCCCAAGCCCTACCGAGAACCCCCCCCCAAGCCCTACCGAGAACCCACCCCCCAAGCCCTACCGAGAACCCACCCCCCAAGCCCTACCGAGAACCCACCCCCCAAGCCCTACCGAGAACCCACCCCCCAAGCCCTACCGAGAACCCACCCCCCAAGCCCTACCGAGAACCCACCCCCCAAGCCCTACCGAGAACCCACCCCCCAAGCCCTACCGAGAACCCACCCCCCAAGCCCTACCGAGAACCCACCCCCCAAGCCCTACCAAGAACCCAGCCCCAATACCTACCAAGAACCCACCACAAGCCCTACCAAGAACCCACCCGAAGCTGGACAGACACCCACCTGGAGCCCGAACAGTCACCCACCCGGAGCCCGACCAGTCAAACACCCGGAGCCCGCCAGTTTAGTAAACCGGAGCCCGCCAGTTGAATGAACCGGAGCCCGCCAGTTGAGTGAACTGGAACCCGTAAGTTGAGTACCTGGAGCCCGCCCCGAGCCCAACCGAGAACCCATCCCGATCCCTACAGAGAACCCGCCCCGAGCCCTACCAAGAACCCACCCCGAGCCCAATAGAGAACCCACCCTGAGCCCAACCAAGAACCTACCCCGAGCCCTACAGAGGTTCCCCAAGCCCGAGAGCCTATCCCGATCCCGAAAGAGCCCATCCCGAGCCTCACCGGGAGCGAACCCCAAACCCTACCAAGAACCCACCCCCAAGCCCTACCAAGAACCCACCCCCAAGCCCTACCAAGAACCCACCCGAAGCTGGACAGACACCCACCTGGAGCCCGAACAGTCACCCACCCGGAGCCCGCCAGTTTAGTAAACCGGAGCCCGCCAGTTGAATGAACCGGAGCCCGCCAGTTAAGTGAACTGGAACCCGTCAGTTGAGTACCTGGAGCCCGCCTCGAGCCCTACCGAGAACCCACCCTGAGCCCGACCAAGAACCTACCCCGAGCCCTACAGAGGTTCCCCAAGCCCAAGAGCCTATACCAATCCCGAAAGAGCCCACCCCGACCCCTACCGAGAACCCACCCCCCAAGCCCTACCAAGAACCCACCCCCCAAGCCCTACCGAGAACCCACCCCCCAAGCCCTACCGAGAACCCACCCCCCCCCCAAGCCCTACCGAGAACCCACCCCCCCCCAAGCCCTACCGAGAACCCACCCCCCCAAGCCCTACCGAGAACCCACCCCCCCAAGCCCTACCGAGAACCCACCCCCCCAAGCCCTACCGAGAACCCACCCCCCCAAGCCCTACCGAGAACCCCCCCCCAGCCCTACCGAGAACCCACCCCCCCCCAAAGCCCTACCGAGAACCCACCCCCCCAAGCCCTACCGAGAACCCCCCCCCAAGCCCTACCGAGAACCCCCCCCCCCAAGCCCTACCGAGAACCCCCCCCAAGCCCTACCGAGAACCCACCTCCCAAGCCCTACCGAGAACCCAACCCCCCCAAGCCCTACCGAGAACCCACCCCCCAAGCCCTACCGAGAACCCACCCCCCAAGCCCTACCGAGAACCCAGCCCCAAGCCCTACCGAGAACCCAGCCCAAAGCCCTACCGAGAACCCAGCCCCAATACCTACCAAGAACCCACTCCAAGCCCTACCAAGAACCCACCCGAAGCCGGACAGACACCCACCTGGAGCCCGAACAGTCACCCACCCGGAGCCCGACCAGTCAAACACCCGGAGCCCGCCAGTTTAGTAAACCGGAGCCCGCCAGTTGAGTGAACCGGAGCCCGCCAGTTGAGTGAACTGGAACCCGTCAGTTGAGTACCTGGAGCCCGCCCCGAGCCCTACCGAGAACCCACCCTGAGCCCGACCAAGAACCTACCCCGAGCCCTACAGAGGTTCCCCAAGCCCGAGAGCCTATCCCGATCCCGAAAGAGCCCACCCCGAGCCTGACCGGGAGCCAACCCCAAACCCTACCAAGAACCCACCCCCAAGCCCTACCAAGAACCCACCCCCAAGCCCTACCAAGAACCCACCCCCAAGCCCTACCAAGAACCCACCCCCAAGCCCTACCAAGAACCCAGCCCTAATACCTACCAAGAACCCACCCCAAGCCCTACCAAGAACCCACCCGAAGCTGGACAGACACCCACCTGGAGCCCGAACAGTCACCCACCCGGAGCCCGACCAGTCAAACACCCGGAGCCCGCCAGTTTAGTAAACCGGAGCCCGCCAGTTGAGTGAACCGGAGCCCGCCAGTTGAGTGAACTGGAACCCGTCAGTTGAGTACCTGGAGCCCGCCCCGAGCCCTACCGAGAACCCACCCTGAGCCCGACCAAGAACCTACCCCGAGCCCTACAGAGGTTCCCCAAGCCCGAGAGCCTATCCCGATCCCGAAAGAGCCCACCCCGAGCCTGACCGGGAGCCAACCCCAAACCCTACCAAGAACCCACCCCCAAGCCCTACCAAGAACCCACCCCCAAGCCCTACCAAGAACCCACCCCCAAGCCCTACCAAGAACCCAGCCCTAATACCTACCAAGAACCGACCCCAAGCCCTACCAAGAACCCACCCGAAGCTGGACAGACACCCACCTGGAGCCCGAACAGTCACCCACCCGGAGCCCGACCAGTCAAACACCCGGAGCCCGCCAGTTTAGTAAACCGGAGCCCGCCAGTTGAGTGAACCGGAGCCCGCCAGTTGAGTGAACTGGAACCCGTCAGTTGAGTACCTGGAGCCCGCCCCGAGCCCTACCGAGAACCCACCCTGAGCCCGACCAAGAACCTACCCCGAGCCCTACAGAGGTTCCCCAAGCCCGAGAGCCTATCCCGATCCCGAAAGAGCCCACCCCGAGCCTGACCGGGAGCCAACCCCAAACCCTACCAAGAACCCACCCCCAAGCCCTACCAAGAACCCACCCCCAAGCCCTACCAAGAACCCACCCCCAAGCCCTACCAAGAACCCAGCCCTAATACCTACCAAGAACCCACCCCAAGCCCTACCAAGAACCCACCCGAAGCTGGACAGACACCCACCTGGAGCCCGAACAGTCACCCACCCGGAGCCCGACCAGTCAAACACCCGGAGCCCGCCAGTTTAGTAAACCGGAGCCCGCCAGTTGAGTGAACCGGAGCCCGCCAGTTGAGTGAACTGGAACCCGTCAGTTGAGTACCTGGAGCCCGCCCCGAGCCCTACCGAGAACCCACCCTGAGCCCGACCAAGAACCTACCCCGAGCCCTACAGAGGTTCCCCAAGCCCGAGAGCCTATCCCGATCCCGAAAGAGTCCACCCCGAGCCCTACCGAGAACCCACCCCCAAGCCCTACCGAGAACCCACCCCCCAAGCCCTACCGAGAACCCACCCCCCAAGCCCTACCGAGAACCCACCCCCAAGCCCTACCGAGAACCCAGCCCCAAGCCCTACCGAGAACCCACCCCCAAGCCCTACCGAGAACCCACCCCCCAAGCCCTACCGAGAACCCACCCCCCAAGCCCTACCGAGAACCCACCCCCAAGCCCTACCGAGAACCCAGCCCCAAGCCCTATCGAGAACCCAGCCCCAAGCCCTACCGAGAACCCACCCCCAAGCCCTACCGAGAACCCACCCCCAAGCCCTACCGAGAACCCACCCCCAAGCCCTACCGAGAACCCAGCCCCAAGCCCTACCGAGAACCCAGCCCCAAGCCCTACCGAGAACCCAGCCCCAAGCCCTACCGAGAACCCAGCCCCAAGCCCTACCGAGAACCCAGCCCCAAGCCCTACCGAGAACCCAGCCCCAAGCCCTACCGAGAACCCAGCCCCAAGCCCTACCGAGAACCCAGCCCCAAGCCCTACCGAGAACCCAGCCCCAAGCCCTACCGAGAACCCAGCCCCAAGCCCTACCGAGAATTCACCCCAAGCCCTACCGAGAACCCACCCCAAGCCCTACCGAGAACCCACCCCCAAGCCCTACCGAGAACCCACCCGAAGCCGGACAGACACCCACCTGGAGCCCGAACAGTCACCCACCCGGAGCCCGACCAGTCAAACACCCGGAGCCCGCCAGTTTAGTAAACCGGAGCCCGCCAGTTGAGTGAACCGGAGCCCGCCAGTTGTGTGAACTGGAACCCGTCAGTTGAGTACCTGGAGCCCGCCCCGAGCCCGACCGAGAACCCACCCAGAGCCCTACCGAGAACCCACCCTGATCCCTACAGAGAACCTACCCCTAGTCCTACCATGAAAACACCCCGAGCCCTACAGAGAACCCACCCTGGGCCCGACCAAGAACCTACCCCGAGCCCTACAGAGGTACCCCAAGCCCGAGAGCCCATCCCGAACCCGAAAGAGCCCACCCTGAGCCTGACTGGGAGCCAACCCTAACCCTACCAAGAACCCACCCCGAAGCCCTACCAAGAACATACCCGAAGCCGGACAGACACCCACCTGGAGCCCGAACAGTTACCCACCCGGAGCCCGACCAGTCAAACACCCGGAGCCCGCCAGTTTAATAAACCGGAGCCCGCCAGTTGAGTGAACCGGAGCCCGCCAGTTGAGCGAACCGGAGCCCGTCAGTTGAGTACCTGGAGCCCGCCCTGAGCCCTACCGAGAACCCACCCCAAGCCCTACCAAGAACCCACCCCAAGCCCTACCAAGAACCCCCCCCCCCCCCCCGAGCCCTACCAAGAACCCACACCCCCCTGAGCCCTACCAAGAATCCACACCCCCCCCCCGAGCCCTACCAAGAACTCCCCCCCCCCCCCCCCCGAGTCCTACCAAGAACCCACACCCCCCCCGAGCCCTACCAAGAACCCACACCTCCCCGAGCCCTACCAAGAACCCACACCCCCCCCGAGCCCTACCAAGAACCCAAACCCCCCCCCCCTTCCCCCGAGCCCTACCAAGAACCCACACCCCCCCCCGAGCCCTACCAAGAACCCACACCCCCCCCCGAGCCCTACCAAGAACCCACACCCCCCCCGAGCCCTACCAAGAACCCACACCCTCCCGAGCCCTACCAAGAACCCACACCCCCCGAGCCCTACCAAGAACCCACACCCCCCCCCAAGCCCTACCAAGAACCCACACCCCCCCCAAGCCCTACCAAGAACCCAAACCCCCCCCCCCAAGCCCTACCAAGAACCCACACCCCCCAAGCCCTACCAAGAACCCACACCCCCTCAAGCCCTACCAAGAACCCACACCCCCCCAAGCCCTACCAAGAACCCACACCCCTCCAAGCCCTACCAAATACCCACACCCCCCCCAAGCCCTACCAAGAACCCACACCCCCCAAGCCCTACCAAGAACCCACACCCCCCCCCAAGCCCTACCAAGAACCCACACCCCCCCCAAGCCCTACCAAGAACCCACACCCCCCAAGTCCTACCAAGAACCCACACCCCCCCAAGCCCTACCAAGAACCCACACCCCCCCAAGCCCTACCAAGAACCCACACCCCCCCAAGCCCTACCAAGTACCCACACACCCCCAAGCCCTACCAAGAACCCACCCCCCAAGCCCTACCAAGAACCCACCCGAAGCCGGACAGACACCCACGTGGAGCCCGAACAGTCACCCACCCAGAGCCCGCCAGTTGAGTACCTAAAGCCTGCCCGGAGCCCCGACCGTCAACCCACCCCGGAGCCCCGACCGACAACCCACCCCGGAGCCCCGACCGACAACCCACCCCGGAGCCCCGACCGACAACCCACCCGAAGCCGGACAGACACCCACCTGGAGCCCGAACAGTCACCCACCCAGAGCCCGCCAGTTGAGTACCTAAAGCCTGCCCGGAGCCCCGACCGTCAACCCACCCCGGAGCCCCGACCGACAACCCACCCCGGAGCCCCGACCGACAACCCACCCCGGAGCCCCGACCGACAACCCACCCCGGAGCCCCGACCGACAACCCACCCCGGAGCCCCGACCGACAACCCACCCCGGAGCCCCGACCGACAACCCACCCCGGAGCCCCGACCGACAACCCACCCCGGAGCCCCGACCGACAACCCACCCCGGAGCCCCGACCGACAACCCACCCCGGAGCCCCGACCGACAACCCACCCCGGAGCCCCGACCGACAACCCTCCCCGGAGCCCCGACCGACAACCCACCCCGGAGCCCCGACCGACAACCCACCCCGGAGCCCCGACCGACAACCCACCCCGGAGCCCCGACAGAGAACCCACTTGGGGCCCGACAGAGAACCCACTTGGGGCCCGACAGAGAACCCACTTGGGGCCCGACAGAGAACCCACTTGGGGCCCGACAGAGAACCCACTTGGGGCCCGACAGAGAACCCACTTGGAGCCCGACAGAGAACCCACTTGGAGCCCGACAGAGAACCCACTTGGAGCCCGACAGAGAACCCACTTGGAGCCCGACAGAGAACCCACTTGGAGCCTGACAGAGAACCCACTTGGAGCCCGACAGAGAACCCACTTGGAGCCCGACAGAGAACCCACTTGGAGCCCGACAGAGAACCCACTTGGAGCCCGACAGAGAACCCACTTGGAGCCCGACAGAGAACCCACCCCGCGCCAACCTTTCATGGAGAAAATTGAACACCAGGCGACAAAAATAATTGCAGAATGAAGTCTAGTTTCATACCATGAATGGTTGAGGGTCAGAGGGCTAACAACACTGCAAACTAGGCATATGCCAGGATGGATCTCACCGAAACTATTAAAATAGTGAACAGCTTCGAAGATATGGATTCAGAGAACAACTTCAAAAGGTCAGATGGAACATAAACAAGGAACAACGGTTTCAAGTCCAACAAGCCGCAGCGTAGGACTGAAAACATAAGCTATATTTTCACCCACAGGGTTATAAACCCATGGAACCGCCTATCTGCTAAAGCAGTAAATAACATAACACTTGAATTGTAAAATCCAATTTGAAAAAAAAATCAGAACAAATGGGGGACCTGATCTGCTACCAGAAATTTTAGGGGCGGTGTGTAGGACAAACAAATTGTGACACTAGCTCTCCACATATGTCAGTTGCTTCATTTAGAACCTGTACTTGAGGTCGATCTCGAACCCATTGTTGATGTGACGACTTATATTGAATTTTGTAACTAGCTCATCAAGATTGTAACTTGCTTAGCTAAATGAATTGTGGGGTTTAGTCCCTGAGCCCATTATGTGCCTCTGTAACCCTTTCCACTACCGCCCACAAGATGGGTATGGGGTGCATAATAAACGAACTAAACTAACATTGATAGGCATTGTTCGAAGCAAACTTCATACGCGAAACCCCATTATATTATATAATTCTATATACTGGGTATATATAAGATATAAATATGTCAAAAAGAATTATCACTCTTACCTGGAGCAATGTTGGTAATGTCGGAAATCAGCGGTACATGTTGTCGCGTTGGCGGCACCGACACTACTGAGCCGCTGAGCCTCCAACGACCAACCGCCGTTTGAACGCCATTTTGAAATTCCATTCGTACTCCCCGAAAAGTGCGTAAACTAGTATTTGCGTGCATTAGAGGCCTTTCCAAGAAACCTTATTGCTATGAATATCTTGTTATCTAACAAACGAATTATTTATGTTAATATTTTTAGCACATATGTTAAATTAGGCCATTTTTCATTCAGAGGGGGTATATATATATATATAGCTATTTACATTTTAAGTTTGAAAAATTACCGTACAAAATTGAATGCAAAGATAAGATTTATTTATACAACCCTGTTTGGAAATTAACTCCTTTTACAATGAAATAAGACGCAAATAAGAACCTCAATTGTGTTGTGAATTTATGCATTTTGTTTTGATTAAAAGCTTAGGTAGTACAATGTACTACTTCTACTACTAATACCATATTATATATAAGGGGTTACTAAATAAAATTAAAGCACAAGCATGTTCACCTAATATCATTAGCTGACAGGTGAAATAATATGAAAGTCGGAAACTATTTGATTCTCTCTTAGAATTTCTACTAATCCTTTCTTTCGTCGAGACCAATATATGTCAGTGACCCCTCAGATAAATTTTTACGAAGAAATACACAGAGCTTCCTGAATCTAGGCGCTGACCCATATATCAATCAGGTCAACCCATGTGTTGCGTTTCCAAAAGGGTCGCCCATGTTAGAATCGGTGAAAGCCCTAGTAATATTGTTGAAAACATCTTAATAACTTATTAAACCAATGGTCTTTTTATGTCAGAAGAACGGCAGAAACTGGATCTATATATGAAAACTCTTTTAGGACAAAATTTAAAGTAAAACTAAAGATATTTGTAGTTGTATAAAAGTTGCATTTTTCATCGGTCGTAGAGCCGGAAATCCGCAATATTCATCTCAGAACAATGCTTATTTCACGCAGAATCGTTAATAAACGTAAGATTTTTATACGTCTCAAGAAAGATAGAAACATAATCTTACTTTAATCTAGTTTTACATAATCTAGTTTTACTTTAAATTTTGTCCTGAAAGAGTTTTCATATATAAATCTAGTTTCTGCCGTTCTTCTGGCATAAAAAGACCTTTGGTTTAATAAGTTATTTACATGTTTTCAACAATATTACTAGGGCGTTCACCGATTTCAACATGGGCGACCCTTTTGGAAACGCATGGAAACGCAACACTTGGGTTGACCCGATTGACAGACTGGTTATATTCCAACAGGGTCTGCGACAACTGTACGAGGGTGTGACAGCCCAGCAAGCTACTGTAGGAGGCTGTGACGGCCCAGCAAGCTACTGTAGGAGGCTGTGACGGCCCAGCAAGCTACTGTAGGAGGCTGTGACGGCCCAGCAAGCTACTGTAGGAGGCTGTGACGGCCCAGCAAGCTACTGTAGGAGGCGGTGACTGTCTAGCAAGCTACTGTAGGGGGCGGTGACTGTCCACGGGCACTAGTAGGTGGCGGAACTAGACCTTAAACAACTCTTCAGTACATAATGTGAAGCAGCAGGGAAAACCTGCAGTTGGTCTACATTGCAGGAAGAATATGTAAATATGTTTTCCAAACATAATGAATACCCTGTTAGTTTCCAGTCTACTTGGAAAACTGAACAGTAAGTATGCTTACAATAAACATTTACATAGTGTTTTTCAGATAGGTGTGGTTGTGGGGGTCCACATTTAACTCTTGGGGCCCCCCCTCTTGACCTTCACTAAACAAGTTCACAAACCTTTGGGCTTTATCATCTCTATATTTAAAGCTGTGTACAGAGGCAGTCTTCATGTCTGCCTCTGAGTGCATTAATTTCTTTCACGTCAAACACAAATATTTATAATGTTTCTATGGCTTATTTGATAGTTTCCACCTCGGTTCCTGTATTTGGGCACAATCGATGCCATATAGTCTAGCCTGTCTTATTAACCTTAGTATCCACTGATTTTCTTTCTTCCAGTGAAGTAAGGTTTGAATCCACTAGTCTTGTATTTCATACCATTTGGCTCTGGTAATTGTTTAGGTCTGGTGGCATCCCGTGCACCTTCTCCAGTTTCATTTTATGTTACAACAAAATACAGATTCTACACTGGACTGCATATTCCAAAATTGGTTTGATACATGTAGAGCCCTGTTCACATTCCTGAGTCTGATACATGTTTACATTCCTAAGGGGTGTTTGTCTGTTTGCCAATCCTGCATATGTAGCTGATGCTATTAGATGAGAGCTTAGGGTGATAGGGTCAGTGTATTATGAACTCAATGTAATGAATTCAATAAATTAATGTCAACTCCCTAGTCTTTTTCTGTGTACTGGTTTTTTTCTAAGGTGGTTTCCCATCCTATATGGTATCTTGTGTCTGGCCTTATTCCCAGCACTCTGCTTTATTAATTTGCACTTGAGTTAACTCTAGTTTGATGCCTCTTGAGACAGCCATTATTTGTTTTATCAGGATTTATTCTGAATTAATGGTAACTTGCTAATGTTGTTTCCTTGTTAATAGTTTTAAGGGCTTCATTGGTATGATTTTGCATAGCCTTCTTATTAAGGACAGACTGTGAGAGAACATGATCTTAAAACAAACCACATAAAATATAGAGGATGACTGATAAAAAATTTGTTAAGATTTAATACATGAGAACATAATAAAGGAAACTGCAGGAGGCCTGCTATTAGTCCATGCAAGACAGGTTATATTTATACCATCCAAACTCATTCATATAATATGTCTAACACTCACTTGAAGAAATCCAGGGATTCCACATGTATTTTGTTACCCAATAGTTTGTGCCATAAATCAACAACCCTATTCCCAAACTAATATTTACCCCAAGTCTTTTCTGAATCTAAACTTATCCAAGTTCATAAGCTTGGGATAGTAAGAGCACATGGAATAGGAAAAGAAGGATTAAAGTCTTTAGGCCACTAGTTAGATGGTGGCCCTCAGGTAAATTCAGGTAAACTAGACTAGGGCATGACTATCACAGGTAGCAAAAATTCAACATAAACAGAGTAAAGTCTGGGTATGAAAGTGTTGGGAGTGGGTACCACAGGAATCAATCTCAGGACCTTTATTTCTCATTATCCACATAAATGATTTATTGTACTTTGGGATGCAGTAGTTTGCTGATTTACTTTTGCACACAATATAAATAAAACACATGTACCTTACCTTGCGACGATTTCGGGTCTCAACATCCCCGCGGCTCGGTCACCGATCAGGCTTTCTGGTTGCTGAACTGGTCAACCAGTCTGTTGGACATGGTTGCTTGCAGCCTGACGTATGAATCACAGCCTGGTTGATCAGGTATCCTTTGGAGGTGTTTATCGAGTTCTCTCTTGAACACTGTGAGGGGTACAGTACGTACTGTACAGTATTTACATTGGCAAGCACGTCAGACATAAACATGCACATAAGCATTTGAATACCGTACTGTACATACTGTATCACTACTGGACACATTCAGTAACTGAATGACTTTATTTAAGGTTACTGTATTTCTTTAAAATTCATCTTTTTAGGTTGTTGGAAGCAGGCAGCACACAAACAGATGACATTGTTCAGAAAGATGGGGACTGCCAGGTTGTGGAGCAAGCTGAGGTACCTAGAATTGCTATATTGTTAATGATTCATTATACTTGCCATGTTTCCTTTATTTTTGCAGTCTTATAATCACTGTTTTTTCCAATCCCCCAGGCACATTACCATTATCCCATTCACTCTGGCAAATTCTGCATGCTCACTTATATGTGGGAAAAGCCTGCATCTTTCCCACATATCAGCTTTACAGATGTACTTGCCTTTTCCAAAGATTTAGTAGCTGTCATATGATCTCGTAGTGTTCTCAGTACATCAAATTCAATCATGTCCACATTATCACCTCTTTCATCACTTGCTCCCATTAGACTTTTTAAGTACAGTATTCTGATCTGCTCTTCACCATTTACATTCTCCCTTGTAACGTTCCCATTTCCCTCACAATTAGTCTTCCTGCTACACTGTTCTCCAAAACAGTTTCCTTTTTCCAAGTGACCACCGGGGCTTTGTGTATCTTAGAAATAAAATATTATTATTATTATTATTATTATTATTATTACAGTATTATTATTATTAACATTATTACAGTATTATTATCTTTTTTTATCTTATCTCCTCGTTCAGTTATTTCTGTTGTAACTAATCTTTTCACATATTTTATTCTCATCGTGCTCCCATTTTCTTGTCCTTCTCTCTTGTTTACCTTTAAATGGAATTTAACATACAATAAGTATGAATGGATGTTCTTTATTGGGATATTTTGATGAATTTGCTATCTGATAGGTTGGGGTCCAGACGGAGGAGGAAGATGCCAAGCATTTTGAAAACCAGGGCTATGATGAAGCATCCTTAGCAGCCTTCTTGAAGAGTGTAGCCCCAAAAGGTAAGGTTTTGGGAAATTAAAATGTTATGTTCTACAGTATATACATGTGTATGTGTGAATTTTGTTCTGTATTTGTATTGCTCTACAGTATTTTATATACAATATTGTACAAAAGAGCATAAGAATTGAGGAGACTGCAGAAGGCCTATTGGCCCTACAAGGCAGCTCCTATTCATATCCACCCAAACTCATTTTAATCAGAAACTGACCCAGTCTTTTCTGTTTGAGTCAGTTTGTACTTTAGCAATGGGATCCTCTTGAGGATCTATTAATACCTATTTGTGCAAGCACTTTAATTTGAATGAACTTGGTTCCATGTATAGTACTGACAAGCTGTTTGTTTATTCCAAAGGTATTGCCTTGGATGAATTTTTAGTAGCTTTATTTGTTTTTGTGCATTTTGTTTCTGTCTTAGGATAATCTTTCGGTTTGCCATAGTCACTTAGTTTGGGGATAGTTGATCTGCTTCTGGCTGTCCAGCAAACAATGAGTCATTGTCCATGGGAAAATGTCAGCAGTTCTGCTATGCTCAGACCTTAGTGGAAAATGATGTATTCTCTTTAATATTGTAGTACAGTATCGGGAATCAATTGACCTTTCTTAATGCAACTCTATGCTTCAATTCTTCAAGATGTAGCATAGTATCTCTCTCCCTCTGTTCTGTGGCATTTCTTCAACACGTCTGCTTTATGTCACATGTAGTGAATCTCTCCACCAGAAACTCTAGATCCATGCTACCATGTTCAAAGGTTGACCAGCTGTTCTCATCTGGTCAACGCATCATTTAAACTTAGTCTTCTTACTCTATACCCTTACTTGCATGATTTACAGTCATATGCTACTTATACGGCATTCGTCTTGGCCATGTCATGCTTGGGGGATCAGAACAAGAGGTTTCTGGCAGACAAACTGCACATTGTTATCTTGAGGTTATCGAGATGATTTCGGGGCTTTTTTAGTGTCCCCGCGGCCTGGTCCTCGACCAGGCCTCCACCCCCAGGAAGCAGCCCGTGACAGCTGACTAACTCACAGGTACCTATTTACTGCTAGATAATGGGGGCATTCAGGGTGAAAGAAACTTTGCCCATTTGTTTCTGCCTCGTGCGGGAATCGAACCCGCACCACAGAATTACGAGTCCTGCTTGCTATCCACCAGGCTACGAGGCCCCTAAACGTACAGTACTATTGTCTAAACATCTGCTGCTTAAGATTCCCCACCTATGATACTTTTGTATGGTGTTGAGTAGTCCATCACACTGAGCCTTTGGATGATAGTTGCAGTGCAGACACTTTCACTCTTAGTCTGTGTCTGTAAGTGGCATTCTCTGCATCTTTCAGCTTCCTATGGTACCACTTTGTACGACAGGTTAGTTTACCCCATACTGTTTTACTGTTCAGTATTTTTGTTAGGTTGCCACTGAATGTGGTAACTCAAATTGTGCTTTAATTAACGATGAAAAGTGCCTTTCTGAGCAGAATCATAGTTGCCACTATTTCCTTTGTTTCTGTCCTGTGTCCCTCCCTTGTAAAGCTTAGATTTTTGATCTTGTGAGGCATTTTGGCTCTTGAAACCCTGAGATACTTAAGGTGCTACCATTTAGTGAAGGTTGGCATGGTAGCCAGGTAGGTAAATAAGCATTTAGTGATAACCATCTGTCAATTAGGTGAGTACAGTACTTTAACTATTAATAAATATATATATATATATATATATATATATATATATATATATATATATATATATAATATATATATATATATATATATATATATATATATATATATATATATATATATATATATATATATATATATATATATATATATATATATATATATATATATATATATATATATATAGGGGGGTACCACCACTGGTGTAATTATAGGGACCCACAGCCTCAGAGAAGGGAACACAGAGCACTCAGGGAAAAACTTGACATTTAACTCTGAATACGAAAGAGTGTTCACTTCTCCTACCACCCCCTTTTTTTTTTTTATTATGATGTACACTTTATTATGCAAGGTTATACAGTTACATATCTGATTTTATACAAAAAATGAACATTAAGAGGACACAAGAAAAAGTTCGCTTCCTAGAGGCTGTAGATTTCCTCGAACTCCTCCGACGCCGGGCAGGAACCGAGGATGCAGCGGGCATTTCCCCTCTGGATCGCGACACTGAGGCGCTGAAAGAGAAAACTTGCTGCTCTAGGGTCTCTTGTGGTGTCAATGAGCTTGGAACCAAGATCCTTAAGAAACCTTCTTGCACTCTCACCCCATGGGCCTAGGGTCTCAGACCCTATTGGAACGAAATTGTACCTTTGATCTAATTGCCTGTACTTGACTGACTTTTGTTTTTCTCTGTGTGTCGCTGCGGCTCCTGCCGTGCCGGCAGAGAGGGTGATGTATGTCGTTGCCAGGGTGGATACGCAAGTATAGTCCCATGCTAACTGCCTGCCACCCTTCCACGGACGCAGTGTGATTCCGTCTGGTCGGCCGGCAAAGCTAACAGAGTCACGGTTCAGTAGGTTGCGGGGCTCTCTCTCCGCTGGACACTGAGCAGAGGCAAGGCTTCTTTTTATGATGTCGTTGACTTCGTCGTGTCTAGTGTGCCAACCACCCGATTTTCCACAGTGCAGGCCATGCAATCCATATTCGTCAGCATCTGCCTCGCCGCAAATACACCTGTGAACAGTGTGGATAGGGGCAGCAAGGCGGAGAGCGACTGCAATACGGAGCTCCTGCGGATCAAGACGTGTGCCTGTCGCAGACATAGGGACTGCCAGAAGGAAGTCCCCTGCATGGGGAGCCTGCACAGCTGTGAGGCGTGCACGATCACTGGGGGTTGTTGCTGCCTCCAGCAAAGCTGTGGCTTCTTTGTCTACAATGGGGCTGTCCCAACTGGATTGTTTCTTGGCTTTCGGCATGGCTGGTCTGAGTGCTGGGTCTGTCATGGCACCCCATTTCGTGTCACATTCCGTGTAGTGGGGGTCCTGTATCCCCGCTACATCACTCAGGGTGTCAGGTAGAATTTCCTTAACCAGGTCATCTGATGCTGAGGAGGAAGACAGGAAGGCTGGGACTGCAATTTGGGTGGCGGTGCGGACACCCAAGCCACCGAGCCTGACAGGAAGAGTGGCTTGTTTCCACTGGCATTCGTTGAGAGAGAGGTTAACCACTTTTTCCAGCATGGTCTTGAGTAGGAGGTCATACTCCTCAAGCTTTGGGTTGTTGTAAGATGGGGCGCACCTCAGAAAGTAGGTTAGCCTCGGAAGGGATAGGCATTTGGTGAGGAGATAAAAAGCATCGTGGGCATCGATGTCACCTATTCTGTCTTCCATCCTCCTAAGGTCTGCGATTTTCTTGTCGAGGATCTCCTCATTGGCGTTAGACCCGAGGGGAGCTCCAAGGAGGGTGCTGTTCTCGGCCCTAATGACATGGGCTCCAGGCAAGGCAGACCTTATTCTAGCTACGATGTCTGGGTTGGAGGAGACTACTTCACACTTGGAAGGGTTCAGGACGAGACCCAGGCTTACTTCTTGCTCCCTTATTTTCCTGATATCTGACAAGAGGTGGTCTACGGTGCCAGCTATAGTGCCATCATCCAAAAACCAGATGTTGAACTCGCTGGACAAGCTTTCGGTGATTTCTTTTAAGACTAAGCAGAAAAGAAGGGGAGCAAGAGGATCACCTTGCTGAACACCTTCACATGATCTGATTTCATGTTCACCAAAGAGCAGTTTTGACTCGCCACTGTAGCACGATAGTATGAACGGGTAGAGGGGCCGGAAATGGCGATGTACGGCACAAAGTACTGCATCTCTTCTTACCATGTTGAAGGCATTCTTAAAGTCCAGTTTGAGCAGGGCCTTTTCATCAGAAATGTTTGTGATGTATGCTCGTGCTGCATGGGCAGCCGCTTCACAGCCTTGGGGGATTCCAAATCCTAGCTGGATTGGTTTCAGCAATTCAGCCGCTTGCTGGCTGACAACCCTCGTAGCAGCCTTGGCAATCAGGCGTCGGAGAGTGTTGCCAACAGCGATTGGCCTGATTCCTTCGTCCTTCTTTTTGAGAGCACAGAGGGAGGCACCAAAAAAGAGAGGCCTGATGACCTCAGGTATCTCACCAGCCAGACACATGTTGACGAACCTTGTGAGTTCCATAAGAAGATCTTGTGCAGCATCACCAACCGCAGGATTTAACATTTGCTTGATATGTTGAGGTTTTAACCCTGTAAAGCCGCCTGCTGACCCAGGTGGAAAAGAAAGGGCTGCTTTGTAGACCTCAGATTCACCAACTGTTAATGGGTCTGAAATGGTGTCGGCTGATGGCGGAACGATGTTGTCGCCTTGAGGGGCTCTGGGTGGGTGCTTGCTTTGCAGGGCCCGTGCTGTGGCTGAGTTTCGAGGAGCAATTTTCTCGTCACTGGTGAGGACTCTAATAGCACTTGCGGTATTTCCCTCTTCAATTTTCTTGGTGATTTGTGCTCTGATTTTGTACGTTTCCGGTATGTTGTTGTTACCATTTCTGCGGTGGGTGTGTTTTGCTCGGAGAGGCAGGCGAACTAGGTTGTCCCCCCTTGGGTATTCATTTATCGCCCTCAGGACCGAGGAAGCAAGTGATTTGTCCCTCCTTGGAGGGACGGTGAGGCATACATTGCCAAACAGAAGGACATTATGCCACGCTTGAATGTTTTCCGGTGCATCATTGACCCTTTTCAGAAGATTACAAAGTTTGGCTGCTGCATTTGGGCGGGCTGCTTTTGGGATGTGTGGTAATGTTCTAGCAGACGTCGCTATGATCGCTTGGGTGAGGTTCTCAGATGAGATTAGGTTAATGGGAGTCTCTTCCCTAACTGTTAATGGCAGCTGGCCATTGCTTCCCTTCGGAAGCTGGTGGGAACCACTGCATCTTTCCTCGTTGAAGGTGTGAAAGCGGATAACACCACCGATGGAGTTTATGGCGGTGTTTTTGTTGCAAACTCGGCAAAAACCTCTTTTAGGAGCAGTTGTTGGCACCTCAAGGCTTGTGGAGTCCTGCCCGACCGCTGGGACCCCTTCCATTTCAACTCGGTTGGCCGAGTTAAACTGTGCATTATTCTATAGAGGGGGGCAAACACACTGGGTCATGGCCAAGCAACTGGGTGTGGAGCCAACAACTGGGTGTGGAGCCAGCAACTGGGTGTGGAGGCATCAACTGGGTGTGGCGCCAGCAACTGGGTGTGGAGGCATCAACTGGGTGTGGAGCCAGCAACTGGGTGTGGAGCCAGCAACTGGGTGTGGAGGCCGCGGCTGGGTGTGGAGGCATCAACTGGGTGTGGAGGCATCAGCTGGGTGTGGCAGCATCAGCTGGGTTTGGAGGCCGCGGCTGGGTGTGGAGGCATCAGCCGGGTGTGGAGGCCGCGGCTGGGTGTGGAGGCCGCGGCTGGGTGTGGAGGCCAGTGGGGCGAGGGTCAGCTCAGGTAGTGAGGTGCGGGGGGGGGGGATGGGGTCGGTTTGGGGGGGGAGGCGTGGTATCGAGTGGGCTATACACATGACACACAATATACATTCACATATATGTACACCAGGGTATGTATGACACTGAGAATATGGGGTTGGCACTTTGTTATATGTATGACACTATAAACTGGGGTTGACACTTTGTGGTGTGTATGGCACTGAGTATCGGAGTTGGCACTTTGAGATGTATATTTCACTATGGCACTATATATACATGGTATTCACTTTGTATGTCGGGGCCGCAAAGTATACACCAAACAGACAGAAATTGTTCACTATCATTCACTGAGCCCACGAGGGAGGTGGTGGGGTGGTGTGGTGGTGAGGGCAGTTTGAAATGCGGCCACTACCAGCCTCCTCCGCCTGACTGGTGAGCGGGTGTTCCTAGTGACGCCTTACTCTAAGGTTCACTTTCCCTCACGCGCCTCCCTCCGCCCCCGCCCTTCCCCATCCCGCCCCGGCCGTTAAGGTGGTAGGCCTCCCTCACTGGCACTGTTGCTGGTGTGTTCAAGCTTGACAAACAGGAGAAAATTGTAAAATACCGTTGACTGGGACGATGGAGGGACTTCAAACGCTGAAGATGTCTTGTAATGATGTTCACATATGTCCTGACCAACGCCCCACCTGCTTGACCTCACTGTTTTGTGATAAAGTATGAAGGTAGCCCGGAGCTCCACGGTGCGTCCGGTCTCCACGATACCCCGAGTGTGTATAAAATATATATATATATATTTTATTAAATATGACCGAAAAAGTAAGATTAATAATTCTAACACGAATTTTCTCAATCTTTCGTACATTATGCTTCACTGTTGGAGGTAAATCAAAAATCACTTCTCCAAAATTCATTTTTATTTCTAGTCTGACGCGACACAGGCGCGTTTCGTAAAACTTATTACATTTTCAAAGACTTCACAAATACACAACTGATTAGAACTTGCGTTTCCCTGATTTTATATCTACATTTGAGTGAGGTGGGAAGGGTGATGTGGCATTACATTTGAGTAAGGTGGGAAGGATGATGTGGCATTAGAGGATATTAATAGGGTATTAAAAGTATCAACACAAGACAGAACACGAAACAATGGATATTGAATAGAAGTGTTTGTAGAAAGCCTATTGGTCCATATTTCTTGATGCTTCTATATTGGAGCGGAGTCTTGAGGTGGGTAGAATATAGTTGTGCAATAATTGGCTGTTGATTGCTGGTGTTGACTTCTTGATGTGTAGTGCCTCGCAAACGTCTAGCCGCCTGCTATCGCTGTATCTATCGATGATTTCTGTGTTGTTTACTAGGATTTCTCTGGCGATGGTTTGGTTATGGGAAGAGATTATATGTTCCTTAATGGAGCCCTGTTGTTTATGCATCGTTAAACGCCTAGAAAGAGATGTTGTTGTCTTGCCTATATACTGGGTTTTTTGGAGCTTACAGTCCCCAAGTGGGCATTTGAAGGCATAGACGACGTTAGTCTCTTTTAAAGCGTTCTGTTTCGTGTCTGGAGAGTTTCTCATGAGTAGGCTGGCCGTTTTTCTGGTTTTATAGTAAATCGTCATTTGACGATTTACGTCAAATATATATATATATATATATATATATATATATATATATATATATATATATATATATATATATATATATATATATAGTATTAATAAATATATACAGTGGCACCTCGACTTACGATTGCCCCTACTTATGATAATTTCGAGTTACGATGTAAATTTCATCGAAAAATGCGACTCAACATCCGATAGTGTCGTCGACTTCCAATATTTGTTGGTACACGTTCAGGTCGACCGAGCGCGTGGTTCCCGGTCACGCTGTCCGACCTGCCTCAGTTTACTACAGCTACCAGGTTAGAGACGATCGCGCCTATAAGAATTTCCGCGTTTGTGGTGATTTTTTGCATTTTGAACATTAAAGTAATTATTATATATCACACCATGAGTCCCAGGAAATTCAGTGGTAAAGCTCAACATATGAGATCCCATGTAAGAATGACCATAGAGCAGAAACGAGATCATGAAATCAGAAACGAGATGGTGTGCGGGTTGTTGAACTGGCAAGGCAGTACAACAAATCTCAGTCAACGATATCCACCATACTGGCTAAGGAAAAGGACATTATGGGTGCTAAAGTGATGCATCATTACAGACAAATGTTAAAGCGAAGGGAAAAACAATTGTCTCTTGACAAATTTGTAGTGAGACAAACAAGCACTGAACCACAACCAGGTCCTAATAGTATTCAGGCAAAATGTAGGAGAGAGAGTACCCCAGAGAAAACATCACTGCCTGATGTGATAATGGAAGGGGACTCCCCTTCCAAACAGTAACAACTCTCCTCATCACCATCTTCCACATGCCATCAAGAGCCCTCCATAAAGGTAAGATAAACTTAGGTACTGTATTGTAGTTAGTAAAAACATTGTATTCAGTATAAAATGTATTTGTATGTTAATATTTTGGAGGGTGGGGAACGGATTAATTCAAATCCTTTTATTTCTTATGGGAAAAATCGCTTCGACTTACGATATTTCGACTTACGATCCGTCTCTGGGAACGGATTAGCATCGTAAGTCGAGGCCCCATTGTATACAGTATTAATAAATTTAATGCCCCAAAAAACTTTATTCAAATTTATTTTCAGTAATTCGAGAACTAGAAAGGCAAAACAGAAGTCAAGCCTTCCATGGTTACTCAGCAGCGAAGGAAGAAGAGTCTTTAGGAGTGAAGCGATTGCATACCCTACGCTGGAGCCAGTTACATCCAGAGGCAAGGTTAAACTAATGAAATGTAGGACAGGTTATGGACAACGGTCACTGTGATAAATCTTCATATTCAAGTGTCGGATGTGGTTGTCTGATTGCTGAGACTTTGTCTGTTTATTTATTTATTTATTTATTTATATATATACAAGAAGGTTCATTGGGATTGTGAGGATACATAGCATAGTAATTACATTCTTGTAAAGCCACTAGTACGCGCAGTGTTTCGGGCAGGTCCATAATCTAAGAAACTTATAAGTAGGTAAATACTTGCAAAATTTATAAAAATGATAACAGTTGCATAGCAAGAAAAAAATAAAAGATGAGAGAAAAATTGTAGGTATATAAAAGCACATAGGTAGCTCAGAATGATTGCAGTGACAGCTTGAATGGTAGTTTAACAAAACTTAGCAGGCACAATACAGCATATGGCTAGCACATAAAAGAAGACAGCAATGAACACAATGATAAAGTTGTTTGGATTAAGTACATAAAGATTGGGAGATTGGGTAACACTAGATACAGAGCAAGTTTAAAGCTCAGTGTAGGAAACTACGAAGATGAAATTAGGTACTGTTTGGTTTTGTTTTTAAATGAGGCAAAAGTTTGATAGCTTTTCAATTCACTAGGGAGTGAGTTCCATAGATTAGGTCCCTTAATTTGCATAGAGTGTTTACACAGATTAAGTTTGACCCCTGGGGATATCAAAGAGATATTTATTTCTGGTGTGGTGATAATGGGTCCTATTACATCTGTCCAGGGAGAGTTTCAGAGCATGGTTTGCATTTAATAACAGGGTTTTGTAAATGTAGTTGACACAAGAGAATGTGTGGAGGGAGTTAATTTTAATAAGTTAAGGGATTTAAACAAGGGAGCTGAGTGTTGTCTGAAAGCAGAGTTTGTTATTATTCTGATAGCAGATTTTTGCTGGGTGATGATGGGCTTAAGGTGGTTTGCAGTGGTAGACCCCCATGCACAGATACCATAATTAAAATAGGGATAGATTAGTGCATAATATAGTGAGAGGAGAGCAGAGTTAGGAACATAATATCTTATTTTGGAGAGTATTCCAACTGTTTTAGAGACTTTCTTAGTTATGTGTTGAATATGGGTGCTGAAGATGAGTCTCTTGTCTAGGAATAGCCAAGAAACTTGCCATCATTTTTATTACTGATGTTAATGTTGTCTATCTGTAGCTGAATTGCATTCGATGATTTGCTTCCAAATAAGATGTAGTAGGTCTTTTCTATGTTTAGTGTTAGTATGTTAGTTGACATCCATAAGTGGACTTTTTCTGGGGGGAGCCCCGTCGGCTCCCCGGAACTTTACCAGGCTGATATGCTAATGTCAGACTTTGGCATCAGTCAGACTAGAAATAAAAAGGAATTTTGGAGAATTGATTTTTCAGTTACCAGCAACAGTGAAAAGTAACATAAGAAAGATCGAGAAAATTCGTGTTAGAATTATTAATCTTACTTTTTTGGTCATATTTAATAATATATGTCTACAGGAAAGACTGCTACCAAAATATACTAATACTATTGAATATATACTATTTTTCTATTGTTGCAGGGAGTTGTGACATCCATTAGTTGGAGTTGTACTGGATCGGTTATTGGAGTGTCTTATGGGTCTAAGGATCATGATGACTGGTGTGATCACAAGGGTGCTGTTGCTGTCTGGAACATAAACAGGTAATATAGAACCTAATTTTTTTGAGTACTGTACTTGCATCAGTCAACTAATCTCATATATAATATATTTGTACGAGGACTCAAAGGGCATACTGTGATCCTATTGAGCTTCAGAACCCAGTCCTGTTTGTACAATGCTGGAGGAGTGATTTACAGTATCTCCAGTTTGTCTAGGAAGTATGAAATATCAGAAGGAGAAATCTTAGTTCATAGATAAATTTGATTGATCATAGGTTTTAATTGTTGGGGTGTTTGAGTGATTCTCATTATTTTTTCAGCAGTTTGTGAGTACCTAACCATGAGGAAATGGTGACAATTAGCCATTGATCTCCACTAACTACCTTCACCACACCCTCCACAAAAAAAAATGGATCATAGGGGTGTCTATAGTTGTTCCATTGTCTTAATAATAGTAATAATAATAATAATAATAATTTACTAATTTTATTTACAAGAAGGGACAAAGGGTTTGTGAGGTTACTTAAGACTGGTATTTTTACATTCTTGCAAAGCCACTAACATGCATAGTGTTTCAGGCAGATTGGGATTGACAGACCACCTTAATTGGGTGGCCTGTCACATGAACTGGGGGGAATACACACTTGTATTCTAAATATAGCCTCCTGGGAGCCGGTCGGCCGAGCGGACAGCACGCTGGAATTGTGATCCTGTGGTCCTGGGTTCGATCCCAGGCGCCGGCGAGAAACAATGGGCAGAGTTTCTTTCACCCTATGCCCCTGTTACCTAGCAGTAAAATAGGTACCTGGGAGTTAGTCAGCTGTCACGGGCTGCTTCCTGGGGGTGGAGGCCTGGTCGAGGACCGGGCCGCGGGGACACTAAAAAGCCCCGAAATCATCTCAAGATAACCACATAGGTTGGGTGAACTAAGTCAATAGTACCGTAATTTAACCTGATGGGTCAAGATAATCACACAAAACTGCTTTCTTCTAATTTTGTGCGAGTTATGCACTCGAGTATTATTCCATTGAAAATTAAATTGTGTACTTTGCACATGCCTCTAACATGCTAGGGGCCTGATGGCTGAGTGGACAGCACTTGGGATTCGTAGTCCTAAGGTTCCGGGATCGATTCCCGGCATAGGCGGAAACAAATGGGCAGAGTTTCTTTCACCCTGATACTCCTGTTCACCTAGCAGTAAATAGGTATCTGGTAGTTAGATAGCTGCAATGGGGTGCTTCCTGGGGATGTGTAACAAAAAAGGAGGCCTGGTCGAGGACTGGGCCGCGGGGACGCTAAGCCCTGAAATCATTTCCAAATAACCTCAAGATGTCTGCATACCATACAGGCATACATATTATATAACAATTAAATGCCGTGTAGCTATTATTTCACAAATATTGTACTGTGTGTACAAAATCTTGACAGAAGCTGGATAAGAAATGTTAATACTGTATTTTGTATGTATGGTTGACAAGGGAGCTGGTCGGCCGAGCTGACAGCACGCTGGACTTGTGATCCTGTGGGCCTGGGTTCAATCCCAGGCGCCGGCGAGAAACAATGGGCAATGGGACACTAAAAATCCCCGAAATCATCTCAAGATAACCTCAAGAAGACAATGTTCATACTGTACTTTGTATGTGTGATTAATTAAGTGAACTGCATTGAAAGAATTGCTTATTGAAAACACTTTCTTCTACAACTTGAAGAAAAAGTATAACACACAACTTGAACATTAAGACAGAGAGATGAAACCAACTTGCTAGGTATAAAAAGGTTAGGAAGTGGGGAATAAATACTTAAATGAACTGATTCAATATTTTAACAACTTCTGTACAGAAACAACTCTAAAGTGCCTTCAAGGTTAGTACATTAATCATTTTCTAAATGATGATGCTATTAATACTGAACCTTGCACTTCTGTGTACTTCACTTTGATCAATTAATATTCACTTCTAATAGGAGTGACTTTGATGCAAACCAACCAGAGAGAGTCATTGAAGCTTCATCTTGCATCTTATCATTGGCTTTCCATCCAACCAATCCAGCACTCTTTGCTGCAGGAACATTCAATGGTAGGTGTGCTTAACTTCAATATTACATTATAAAGCATATTGAATATTACAGAGCAGACAAATATGTAAATTAAGTAGAGCGCTTGAGATGCACATGCTGTCGAACGCAATACTGCCAAAGACCACTTTCAAAATAGCTTGATATTTTGTTGTGCCAACCAATTTTTGATAAACTCTACAGGTAATTTGTGTTATATCATTTCTGTGGGACCCCCCCCCCCCCCTTCATAATATTTTATGATTAATTCAAAATGTTAGTTAATAAATAAATAAATAATAAATAAATAAATGTTTATTTAGGTAAGGTACATACATCCAAGAAATTTTTACAAAGATTGGTGGACTTATAGATAGAGCTAGTACATACAATGCCTAAAGCCACTATTACGCAAAGCATTTCGGGCATTTTGGTTATACCTTATCTGGTGAATTAGCTTCCATTTGTTGTATTTATTATCATTAGCCCAGTACTAACATGCTACTTTATTGAAAGCTCATGTAAATACTAATTAGTATGAAGATTTATTAAAGAGAACAATTATATTTTAATGTATAAAATATTAAACCCTTTCTACAACTTATTTACCAAATTGTTCTTAACAATAATAGATATAAAAGAATATCCACTTTAATTTGATCAAGGGGGAAAGTGTTAGTTTTATAATTAAATATCTATTGAAACATCTTATATAATAGCTGATATATCTGGTGTGTGTCTGATGGGCAAGGAAACCCTGGAAGTATATTTATAAGTTCTCATCAACACTGTAACAATATCTCATCTGAGCTTTTGCAAAGAAATTCAAGATATCCAGCTATTTCACATAGAACCATTACGAATTCATTGTATTTTAATTTCATCAATACATATTTTTTTTTTCACAAGAAAATGTGCAATTACTGTACATTAAATGAAGATTTTTCAATACTGTATATTTCATTACAGGAGAGATTTTGGTGTATGACCTGTCGCGCACCGAGGAGGTGACCCCTCTAGTAGCAGGGGAGTGTGGAGGTGGCAGTGTGACCACACTCTCTTGGGTAGATAATATTGCTAGGGAGGCTACAGTGTCTAGAATGCACAGCACTATTATAGCTACAACAAGCAGCGGCTTTGTCCTTGTGTGGGAACTAAACCTCACAAAGCAGCAGCTACCTCTTAAATCTGGGTAAGTTTTCAGTCATTCTCTTGTCAAAATACTTGTATAACATATAGGAAAGGACGTACTAGAGTATTATTTCAGCATTCATATATAGCCGAGTATATGGTACTGATATACGATTCTCTTCAATTACTGTTGCAGGTTTATGCTTCAAGGTCAAGATGCTCCTAGAGGAATCAGAACACAGATGGATGGCTCAAGTGGAGTTGGGATTACTGCAGCTTCATTTAATTCTGAAGATTCCATGCTATTTATCTTGGGAGCTGAAGGAGGTGGCTTGTTTCTTTGCTCAACTTCTTCCGAGGTTATTAATAATGTTCATTGTTTTATTATTATTTAGTTACTCTGTTCATTCCGTGACAGAAGTATGTTGAGTAGTTTGCATAACATGTCAAAGAACTGGTAATTGTGCTCCTCAGTTGCTTTTGCAACTTTTTGTGGATCCGGTTTCTCTTCTTCCCTGTTTGCGGGTTCGGGTCTCCCAGGTCGTCCGCAGGGCTATCAAATCCAGCCAGCCTGCGGTCTATCCCCGTGCCCATGACGTTCGTAAGTTTCGTGGCTCTTGCTGCTGTCTTTGGGAATATGTCTTGGTCTGATATTCGAGCGCGGGGTTTTTGGCGGTCGAACAGGGTCCTGGCTGCTTGTTACCTCGTGAATGTCCCTGGGCCTCGTCGGGCCTGTGTTGCTTTGGGTCGGCGGTTGCAGCCAGTTGTCTTGACTTCGAGTTGAGCAGTGAGCGACGACCGCCTCCCGGGTAAGTCCCTCTTTTTCCGTGTGTGGGAAGTTTGCTCCAGGGAGCCGATGGGGCTCCCCCCAGAAAACCAGCGTTGAATGTAATGAAAACGCCATTTTCTGGGTGAGTCCCGGAGGCTCCCCGGCATCCCTCCCCCCCTTCGGTCAGTGTTTTTTTCGTGTTTTTGACATCCAGCCTCAAAACCGAGGTGTGGGTAGCCGGCGTGAAGGGTCTGGGGCTCCCCTTCCCCCTCCCGGGAAGGGGTGAGCTGGCAGACAGCGGCACGGCAATGTGTGATGTCACACTAGTTTGCTTGTTTTCTGTTGGGGAGTTCTATCCACTTGTTTGGCTTTTGGTAGCAATTTTCACCAGAATAGGGGTTTGTTTTGAGGTGCTTACCTTTCTGGGTGCCTGTTCCGGTCGATGGCAGACATAGAATGCCTCCAACTACATGGGGGTTTCTATAGGCCATTGCTACCCTTGCCTCTCTGAGGGGGCCAGGTTCTGGCCATGGTCCCCGGTAGGCCTAAGAACTCCATACACATGACTGATGCCAAAGTCTGACATTAGCATATCAGCCTGGGAAAGCTCCGGGAGCCTTCGGGACTCGCCCAGAAAATGGTGTTTCATTACATTCAACGCTGGTTCTTTGCATCAGGAGGTGTTTGGTGTTGGGGACGGCAAGTGAGTGGAATACTGTTGCATGGTAACAGGTGATAACTAAGCAGGCCAACTAGTAATTTGCGGTCACCATGGATGTTAAAGAAAAATCATGAAGGCTTTCAAGTGAACAATTGTTGATCATTTTGCATTGGATTAATTTTTTCTGTAGTAATAATGCCGGTGTATTATGTCATCCTGACTGATTGTGCCATCTGGATGCAGTGGATCTTACATTTATTTGCATATGCTGTAACCCAGAGCTTATTTATTCGGGATGTAAATACTGTAGAGTATTCATTAACCATTATATTATTAAGTGCAGAATCTGTTTTACAGATATTGTATATTTTTATTGTCTTAATTATTTCTTTGCAGTGTTTAATCTTAATAATTGTTAAATAGGAACTACAAATTATGAAATGAGCTAGGTGTGAGGTTAATTTAACTTAATACAGTATAGCATTGGATAGAATAATATAGTTATTTGTGCATCATATTTTCTTTGTACTGTATTTTATATAAACAAAATAATTGTATCGTGTGTTTCATTGTTGCAGGTTCCAACTGGAGTGGAATTTTCTGGTGTTGGATTAATGAAATGTGTTTCTTCCACCCTTGCTCCTCACTCAGGACGGGTGATTACTGCTCAGTTTTCACCTCATCACCGTAATGCCATCCTTTCAGCTGCCTCGGATAATCAAATACGACTTTTCACACTTCTTCAGGTAATTGTACCCCTTCAGCATTTTGCACATTCATTGTTAATACAGTGGTACAGTACCTTTGTTTACAAATTTAATCCAGTCCCAGAGACGGTTTGTAACCGAAAATTTGTAAACCGAGATGAATTTTGCCACAAGAAATAATGTAAATTGAATTAATCCGTTCCACACCTAAAAATATTTACTTAAAAATACATTTTATACATACTACCACTAACATTTTATACTACAGTATGTACAAGTATATCTTGCCTTTAATGAGGACTCTTGTTGGCATACGGAAGATGGTGAAGAGGTGGGGAAGAAGAGAGGTGTTAGTGTTTGGAAGGGGAGTCCCCTTCCATTATAACATCAGGCAGTAATGGCTTTTCTGGGGTACTCTTTCTCCTATGTTTTGCAGACATACCACTAGGACCTGGTTGTGGTTCACTGCTTGTTTGTCTCACTAAGACCTTTCCATAGAGACTTGTTTTTCCCTACGTCTTAACACTTGTCAGTTGTGAGGCATCACAGTGTCATTAAAAAGGTTAAGGCAACGGCCTACTGAAACTTGATTTGGGTAAGTTGTTTCCAGCAAACTTTGCAGTTTTTCCCATGCTGCACACATTTTCTTAATTAATGATCAAGGGACATTCTGTTCTGCCTCCTCCTCCTCCTCCTCCCCTGAAGAAATTTCCTCAGCTGCTCCTTGAGAAGGGCTAGGAGTTCTTTAGTGGTCAGTTCTTAACTGTATTTCTCCACCAACTCCTCCACATCAGCACCATCCAACTCCAAACCAATTTCCAGCCCAGAGTAACAATTACCACAACAGGAGGCACTGCAGGTTCAGGCTCAAACTCAAAGTTTCGTTCTGAAACACATTCAGGCCACAATTTTCTCCAGACAGAGATCATGGTTCTTAGTCACTTCTTGCCAGGCTTTGTCTATGACTTTTAAAGCACTAAAAATGTTAAAATGTTTTTTCCAGAACTCTTTGAGAGGTCAGGTTTGTGACATCAGTCACTTCGACACATCTCGGGAAAAGTGCCCAGCCATAAAGTTTCTTTATCGCCACTTGCGTTACCACACAACACAAGAGTTAACCTATCAACAATCCTATCATAGGCTTGTGTCCGGGCAATGACATCTCCTCCTGGATAATGTATGGCCTCTTCGGCAATTTTTTCCAGAATAGCCCTATCTCGCCACAATTAAACACTTGTTATTGTGGGTATCCCTCACTATCTGCAAAATCTTTTAAATTTACCAACAAATCTTTCAGCCACTTCTTTGTCTGAGCTGGCACCCTCCCCATGCCTCACAACACTATGAATGCCACTTCTTTTTCTAAATTGCTCAAACCATCCCCTGCTGGCCTTAAACTCTTTCGTTTAAGAGCAGCAGTGTTGGAGAAACTCGTCTTGTATTTAATTATATCATCAGTTTTTCTATAAATGATACTTTATATTATTTCAGCCTAACAAGCCAGTAAGTATAATACATGCTGAAGAAGGCATAGGGTGTGTCCAGTGGTCACTTTCTCGTCCTCTAGTGGTGGCTGTGGGGCGCATCACTGGTGAAGTTGCTCTCTATGACTTTGGTCTAAAGAACTGTCAGCCTTTCCTGATTTTACCAGCTGCTGAGAAACCTTCTTCAATAACTGCTCTGCAATTCAACAAAAGAAAGTGAGTATGGTATTTTTAATGATGTTTGAAAGCTATTGAATCAATAATGCCAAAACAAATTAAATAATGTTGCAGCTGATTTGAAAAGGATTTCAAAATCATCTCTAATCACAACAATGCTGGCAACATTTTATATATTTGTTTACTTATAGCATTAGACCTGATGTGAGCTAAAAGTCCTTCTCCTCTAATTCTTCTATCTGTGTCTCTCTTACATTATACAGTATTGTGTTTCTGGTCTCTCTTTTTTTTTCTCTCCAATGGTATTATAGTACTGTATTTTATTTTGCATTAACTGGAATTGAAATCTAGTAAACCCTTACCTACCTAGTTGTGCAGCTTTAGCTTTTCTGGTAATAACGTTCAAACCTTCTCAGTATTCTCAGCAGTTTTGTTATCCACGAACAGTGACATGTATTCTGTAGGAGACTACTTCCTCATATAGATCATTCACATAGATCTGGAACAATAGGGGTCCAAGAACCAAGCATCGTGAGACCTTATTTGTTTCTTCCATTCTTGGTATTTTGTTTCTCATGGTGGATAGACATCACCTGGTATACATGATAGATAACCGAGTTTATTTCCTTCTTGCTTCTCCTGATGTTCCGCAATCTAGGAAAAATGTTGGGGGCGGGGGACTTCTGACAAGCTGCTGGCTTCCTGTCCCAGTCATGGCCACTAGATAGATTTTGACTCCTCTGGTAAAATTCAGGTAAATCTTTTCTGTGATTATTTCCTGTGTGTCAGAAATACTGGTTTGTAGTTCATTGCCACATTTGCTATCTATCAAATGTCTGGGAGCCTCTGTGATGTATCATATTCCTTAGAGGATTGCATAGCATTTTATCAGACTTTATTTTTTTTAAGTATTCATGATGATATCTAATCCCACTGCCTTGATTGGGTTGCTGTTTACTTCATACTCAGTGACCACACTGTTGCTGTCTATAGCCCTAATGCTTTACTCCTCCAGGGAAGTTCTCATTACGGGTTGTCCACAACGCAAGTTTCTCCAGAAGGCTCTACCCAACCACTTGGCCTGGACAGTAGAGCGATGATTTTGCGTCATGCAGGTCGGCGTTCAATCCCCAACTGTCCAAGTGGTTGGGCACCATTCCTTTCCCCCGTCCCATCCCAAATCCTTACCCTGACCCCTTCCAAGTGCTATATAGTCGTAGTGGCTTGGCGCTTTCCCCTTGATAGTTCCCTTCCCTTCCAGAAGGCTCTGTTACCACACAAACATTTCAATCTTTAAATTTTTCTGACCCTCTAATCCATCACCCTCATTTCCTTATTCAGATATTGTTCCATGCTTTCCTTCCATTATACTAATAATAAATAAAGAAAATGGAATGTACTCCTGTCAATTCTCCCATTATCATCTTCAACATTCATTAATAAATAATATTTTTTGTGTGATATTTTCCTATCATTAATTTTACTAATTGGGATATCAAAGCACACAATATTTTTAATGTCATTTCCACCTACAGCATGAAACTTTTAGCAGTGGGCGATCAACTTGGCCGAGTCCGTGTGTGGCACTTGCCAAACAGTGCAGTGTCTCCTCTGTCAAGTGAGCTGTCTACTCTTCATACCATTTTAGACAATCTGGTTGACTGATTTATTTCTTATCTCTTATTCTAGTCACATTACATTCTGTATTATCCACCAATAGAAAATTTTGCTCTATCATTAACTTGTACCAGGTGTACATTCGAAAAGTAGTTGATGGTGAAAGCAACTGAATTCCAGTGGTATGGGCCTCCAGCCATGGGAAGGCAAAGGGGGGTCTTTCATCCCACAAAGCTATTTTTAGGGATAAGTATTTGACTGGTTTTCTTGGCCAAACCAGTTCTTGATCAGTCTCTCATGAATGTTACAACTCAGTACCGTATGTTTACCTAGTAGCTGGATATACAATAAATTAGATAAATACAATATTGTAATTGATCAGTAACTTGTAGTTTTATTAACCTTGCTGCAGTGATCTGTTAGAAGAGTCTCAAAGGACACCACTTCCTTATTGTTCCATAAGACCCTATGTACCTTATGAATTATCATGTGCATTACAGTACACTACATTATATGCATTTATATTTACTTATTCCTTACAAACTGCTTCAATCCACCCAGTCTTATTCCTTACTGTATCCTATGAGTTCTTCGCGCACACTCCAGTATCAATGCCAGTAAAACTGTGCCTCATGAGAGACTCCGTGACAAGTTGTTGTTGTGCCATGTGTGGCTTGTGTTTCTGTTTCTTGGCTTGTATATATTTTTTTTTTGTTATCCTTATGCTTTCCCTATGTGTTATGATGATTGTTTTGTTTTATGTGTTATTATGTTTTGTGTATTGCTAGCCTGTTTACGCTATTTTCTCTTGTGTTCTGTTGATGTTTGCGGTTTTTTGTACTGTGCTGTCGGTCCTTCTGGCCGGTGGTTTTTTACTTTGCTTATTTTGTTTCTTCTGTTCTTTTTATTGTACTTATTGTCTTAAACTTGCATGCTTGCATGTAAAAAAAAAAAAAAAAAAAAAAAAATGTTGCAGAGGGCAAACCTTCAGCTGCTCTCTGGTATAGGTAGGCTTTGTTGAGGTGTGAAAGTTTTTTGGTGATGTTTTTTATGTTCTCTACGTTTGTTGTTGTTTAAGATTCAGCTACTGGGAACTAAAAGTTCCAAGTAGCACGGGCTATGGTGAGCCCGTGATGGACTTACCTGGCACAGGAGCGGGGCTGAAACTTGGTTCTCTAGGTTGTTGTTGTTGTTAAAGATTTAGCTACTCAGGACGAAGTATCCATGTAGCACGGGCTATGGTGAGCCCGTAATCCTGTGCAAGGTAAGTCTGTTCTCTAGGCTAGGCTGAATTGTTTTATGTATCACTGGATGACGAGTTGCCAATTTAGAAATTTCATCGGCTTTCTCATTTAATGGGATTCCAACATGGGATGGGATCCAGTTTAGGGTTATGTTAAGTCCTTTGCCTTTAGCTACTGCTCCAAGATACAAAATGGTAGTAATTATTTCCACGTCATCTTTCCACTGTTTTTGTCCTAATATTTGAAGTGCAGTTTTTGAGTCTGTGTGTATGATTGCATTTTGAGTGTTTTGTGCAATCACATATGCGAATGCCTGTTGTATGGCAAACAGATCAGTTTGGGTTGATAATACTAGTCCTCCCAGTCTCCAATATGCCTGTACGCTGGCCGTGCAAAGAGCAGCGCCAGCACTCTCATATTTTGTGTCAACCGATCCATCTGTGAAGATGTGGGTGGCTCCTGCTACTGCAATGCTATACATTTGCTTTTCTATTATGCGCCTTAAGATTGTTGGATCATAGGCAGTCTTTTTCATTGGGAGACTTTCTTTCTGCTAATACATCTGGTGGAAGCCGATTGCTGGCTGCTCTTTCTGCAAACCTGGTTGCCAGTACTTCGGCTCCCTGTTGAGGATCCTTGGCGTGTGGAGCTTTAGGTGTTTTATTTCCTTTGGCCCGTACTTGCCGGTGGATTTGCTGCCACATCTCTCCATGAGAGGTGTGTTCATTCAGATGTGAACACCATTCCAGCCACTTTTGTTCTTTTGAGTTGCGCCCTAGCTGCGGTGGGGTATAGACGTGTTGTCTGAGCCCTCCAATAGTTGTTGGTGGTTCGCCGAGCGGCTGGGGGTGTGGGCGTCCCCACCCTCCCTGCAGTTGCCGCTTGGTTGGTGTTGACGTCGCACGCTTGCGATGGGAGGCCTTCTTCCTCCTGTTGTGAGAGTGAACTCCGTGGGCCTGGAGTTTACAGGCCGTGTTGGTTATCCTGTAGTTGAGCTTGTCATGTGTGACATGCTCCGTGTCCCGGTAGATGACATCTACGGAGTTGAGCTGGTAACTGCTCACCAGGTTATTGTCAAATTAGTAGGGGAGGAGGTGTACCATGAGTTCCTCCGCCGTTACGAGGGGCGTTCCTTGTTGCTGCCGGATGGTGCCGGCTCTGTGACCATTACAGACCGTAGTGGTGCCCTGACATACGTGAGTGTGCATGGGGCGCCCTTGGAGTTTCCCGAGGACCTACTCCAGCGTTACTTCCAGCAGTTTGGCGCTGTCATCAGTGTGCGGGTGAACACGCTGTCGTCGGTGTGCGGGTGAACACGCTGTCCTCGGGGAGGTACATGTATAAGGGTATGCGTACGAACATTCGTACCCTTGGGATGCGCCTGAGGTCTGGCATTCCTTCTTCAGTCGGCTTCTGGGGTACTACGTCCGGGTATTCTATGCCCAGCAACCCCGTACATGCTTTCGGTGTGGCCTGTTGGGGCTGCAGTAGCTCCTGTGAACCTGTTGCGGGAGGAGGATTTCCTGCCGCTCCCTGTTGGGGTGGATTCCGTGGGTGAGGATGTGGGCGTCCCGTTGGCTGCTGCGGCTCCCCCTGCGTCGCCCGGCGGTCCTCCGGATGATGCGGCCCCTTCTCCGGGTGTTACGGTGCCGTCGGCTGATCTTTCTGCTCCTGTCGCTGTCCCAGCTGCTCCCGTGGGTCTTCCAGATGGTCTCTGCGAGTCGTCGACGTTTTCATCTTCCTTGTCTCCTGCTGCTGCGACTGGCCCTCGCCAGGTGTCCCGGCTGTGCTGGGTGCTGGGGGGGCTGCAGAGCGTCCTGATGAGTGCGGCCTGGTTCCCCCCTGTGGTTGAGGCTGCTGCAGTTCTGCAACGGCATCGGTTCGCACGGCTTGTGAAGCCTGTGGTTCTGGGTCCGCCTCTGGCTCTGAGGCGGCTCTTATGGCTTCTTGTGCGGCCGGAGCCCAAGCGTTCCCGGCGTTCTTCTACTGCTTGGGCTGATGTGGAGGATTTCAACGCCGGTGGATCTTCGGGCGATGATGTGGTGGTTCCGGGTGCTTCGCGAGCTACGTCGATGGTGGTTGCTGACGTCCATGTTCCTGCTGATGACAATGTTTGTGCATATGATTTACCTCCTGTTTTTCTTCTGCAGAAGGTTTTCCGCAGTGGGGGGTGGTCGCTCCTACGGACGTGGGTGGTGAGGGTGCTGGTGCGGGCCGAGGCCTCGTGCTGGTGCTGAAGAAGGATGCCTGGCGTGGGGGGTCCCTGCAGGTGAAACGTCCGGTGGTTGACGCGGGGCCCTGTGAGGCAGTCAAGGAGGCTCCCAGTGCACTGCCCATTGCCCGGCCCCGTGGGAAGAAGCCCCTCCCTTCCTCTCGTCTTGGCCTCCGGCGTGGCATATGATGATAAGAACCCTTTGCTGTTTGACATTGTTGACCGCGTGCATCCTGTTCCATGGAGCCCTTCTTCCATCTGGGTTCCGCGGGCTCGGTGTTTTGTTGTGGGTGTGCCGGAGTTGATGCCTGATTACGGTTAATAGTAAACCTGTTCCAGATAACGTCATGTTGCTTTGGGAGGCGTATTGTGTTCGATTCCCAGCGGCGGAGTGGCCGGATAAGTATGAGCATTTTGAGTAGTCTGTGTGTTTGGTGTGTGAATGGGACCTGTGGTTTGTTATGTTATGTGTTGTAATTATTGTGCGCCCTTCGGGCCGGTGTTATGTTTCATTCTCATGACCTTGTTTTATTGTATTTATTGTATTTCTTAGCATGCTTTGCATGTAAATAAAATAAAAAAAAAAACTGTTGTTCTTTTATTAGTCTGGTCTCTCGATGCACATGTTCCTTGACCTCAGAAAGTAAGGTCGTGTTGCGGTCACTTGGCTGCTTTTTGCATAGCTTTCTTGTGCTGTTGAGTTCTTTGACACGTTCGCAATAGTACCAATGATCTTTATGGTGTCCGGTGGACTGTTTTTCAGTGGGATGAATATAGATCACTATCACTGGACCCATATAATAACTCGACCTATTTTCTCTATCGTATCTACTAGGTCAACTACTGTACTGACCATTCCCAGGATATAGTCCACAACAGTTGCCTAGCACCCAGGTACCTATTTACTGCTAGCTTCTTTTGATAATTACTTACTATTTACTGCTAGGAGTACAGAGGCATCAGATGAAAAGAAACTGTCCAAATGCTTCTGTCCTGCTAAAAGGATGAACACCATGATCCTTAGTCGTGAAACAACGATGTAGGCCACTGAGCTGCGAGACCTTTTGTGTGTGTGTGTATTTTCTCGCACGCCTGGACATGCTCATGTAAGTATATAAGTAGAATACAGTAGTAGCAAATGCATATGCACAAATATGTGAGGTCAGGTAGATGTGCGCAAACCATATTCAAGGATATGCATGGAGGGGGGGGGGGGGTGGAGAGATTGGGGCTACTGGGGGTTGAGCATGATGGGGGAGAGACATACAATGGCACGAGCAGGGATCAATGTGCGTTGGAGTAGTGTCTTGGCAGCTGTTGTCAACACCAAATACTTTTATTATAATGGTCGCCGCCGACGCTGCAGCCGCACAGAAATCTAACAAACTAAACGCTATAATCTATGCCTATTGTCAGTATTCATGAGTTGTAAGAATGTCAAGCGTGAAAGATTGGTGATACAATTGTAGCGTCAGTTACTATGACATTTTTGTGACGTTAACGCTAGAGAGGACTGGTGCCACCTGACCCCTGTTTCTAGCTGCAAGCTCCTCGTAATTTGGTTCATGGCAAACTGCTTGGCTTCTGTAGGAAGTTATTTGTAATTGGTACAACGCTTAGGAAGATGTTGCAGCGGTAAGTGGGGTTGTTGCATATTATCATTTGTAGCACGTGAAATTTTTTGGTAACGTGTATTGATGTAATTAGTGCGTGTGGGATAATTGGCAACCTCCAAGTGTTTGCCATAGAATTTCTTGGAATGTGGAGTAGCTGCCACATTGTTGCTAGTGTGGTTGCTACACAACTATAAGCTAACCTTGCTCAAGAAAACTTCAAGTATTACAGTATTGTATCGAAATAAGACCACCAATCATGTTCTCCATTCAGTGTTAATGATAAGGTAGTGTACCGTATGGTACCTGGGAGTGATGTGGTAATAGAAAGTGTGGTTCAATCTAGGTCAGCTTGGTGTTGTATAGCTTTCCGGTCCGCTCATGGTCGCCTTAACTCACTGACCAGCTCAACTTCCGGCCGCCCAGTACCTTCTCTTATGACTTCTTGCCCACTGCTGCTGTGCCCTCACAAGCACTTGTCCTTACTCTGTGACAAAAATGTAACCGAGGTGCATACATGTAGTGACAAGCGAGTTAATGTGTCTTGTCTAAGAGTCCATGACTAAGTGTGCAATATGCTTAACATTTGCAATTCTCAAAGCCCCATTTATGCATGAAGAACGTTCTGCTGTTTTTGCCTTAAAAGCTAGTCTGTAAAGCTGACGACGCATATATCAAATGTAAATTGCATTAGTTAAATGAGCCAGGTTCTGGTAAAAAAAAAAAAAAAATCAGCGGTGTTGGTGTATCTACACAGCAGGTGTCAGATGCAGCTCGTAGCACTCTAGTATTGCAGCGTCCGGGGCTGTGCTCAAGGGTGTCCGGGGCTGCGCTCTAGGGTGCCCTACGGCGTCCGGGGCTGTGCTCAAGAGTGCCCTACGGCGTCAGGGGGCTGTGCTCAAAGGTGTCCGGGGCTGTGCTCTAGGGTGTCCTACGGCGTCCGGGGGCTGTGCTCTAGGGGTGTCCTACGGCGTCCGGGGACTGTGCTCTAGGGGTGTCCTACGATATCCAGGACTAGCAAGAGTATTCTGCAGGATGGACCGCTGGATGGCTGTCTGCACCATTGTCTATATCACCTTAGCGACTGTGTGTCCAAGTAAGTCGAGATGTACCCAACGTGTACTAGTGCAGGCTAATAGACTACACTCTCATGTTTTATCCTGATTCCATGTATGACTAACCATCCTGTAAGATGAGGATATTAGATATACTTGCAGATAGCGCTTGGTCTAGATTATGTAATCCTTCATATAGAATACGGTAGCTGCGCATGTTGTGTGTACCTGTGGCTTGGTAATCATAATATGTAGTCACCTGCAAATCTGTTGTCATGTTTAGGGGTTATGTGAAACTGGATTTAGTCGACACAGTCGCGTTTAGTTGGTGCTGGTGTCTGGAGTTGTTAATTGACTGCTGGAAGGTTTCCCTGGTCCCCTTGACTACCAGTGCGAGCACCCCCCAACACGGTCCCCTCCTAGCACGGACACCCGCCCCTCCCTCCCTGCACGGTCACCCCACCTCTCTCCCTGCACGGTCACCTCCCAGCACGGACACCCCCCCCCCTCCCTGCACGGTCACCCCACCTCTCTCCCTGCACGGTCGCCTCCCAGCACGGACATGCACGGTCACCCCACCTCGCTCCCTGCACGGTCGCCTCCCAGCACGGACAACCAACCCCCCCTCTCCCTGCACGGTCACCCCCAAGCACGGACACCCCCCCCCTCTCCCTGCACGGTCACCCCCAAGCACGGACACCTCCCCCCCCCCTCTCCCTGCACGGTCACCCCCAAGCACGGACACCTCCCCCCCCTCCCTGCACGGTCACCCCACCTCTCTCCCTGCACGATCACCTCCCAGCACGGACACCCCCCCCCCTCTCCCTGCACGGTCACCTCCCAGCACGGACACCCCCCCTCTCCCTGCACGGTCACCCCCAAGCACGGACCCCCCCCCTCCCAGCACGGACACGTATATACACCTCTAGTCACATCAATGACTTTTGGAAAGCCTGTGACCAATACGTTAGAAAGTAGTTTTTCTTTATTTTTTTTGCCTGGTGGATAAAGTGGACGACGACGTCTGACTCCTGTTAGCAGGCTTAGTTTTCCTTCCATATAAATAATTGTTCAATAAAACCGAAAAAACTAACCTTCTCACCTTAGTATTCACACTATTATTATCTGAACTCTCGATCCTAAAAGTTAAGCTGCGTTATTATTGACTACTTCAGTTAACTTACGAATCGCTGCAAATTCCCAATGTATACCTCGACTTCTTTGTTAACTTTAAAACGTACACGAAGCAATATGCGTGTTAGTGGTCGTTTCGGAATGTTCCACTTGATGACGGCCGTTGCTTAATGGGGATTAATGATCAATAGTTCACTGCGAGAACAAGTATTCGTGCCACTAAAAAAAAATATATATATGAACAGTGTAGTCTATGTTTAATTGTCATATTTTAAGATAAATATATAGGCTATATTTTTCTAAATCATAGGCCTACATTTATTATCTTAAGCCTTATTATAGAAGGACCACAGTTGCAAAAATGTAAATATCCACTCAACGGCGTCATCAGTTATCTGTTGATACATTTACTTTCGACTTAATTAATAAGCCTATTGCTGAAGAAGTGATACAAATTTATAATTTACTGAACAAAATCAATATATAGCGCTGGTGATGCCATATGTGTGCACGCATGATGAGTGAGACTCTAGGATGAAAACTGATGAAAACCCTTTCATCAGTTGTTTACTGATGTTTACTTAATGTTTACTATTACAAGAGAAGAAAACCTCAACACTTTCCTCTCCCAATGTGGTTTGTCTCACCTTATTATCACTCCCAATGAATTAACTTAATTAACCCCTGTCAACTAGTGGGGCTAGGTATCCTAAGTCTCCTTGGTTCATTTTCTGACTTAATTTTTAACTTACTCTTACCTAGTCATTTACCGAATTTATTTAATTGAGTTATTAAGTAGTTCTTCAGGTCTTTTTAATTATACAGTCATTACTGAACTATCTATAGTTATTAATCATTAGCTTAAATTTGCCTATGTTTATTATTCAACTTTTCTTTGATCTCATTTATTACCTAGGTTGCCTAGCCTTGCCATGCTCCCTTACTCCATTGTACCCCTGGCTTTGCCTGCATCTCAAATTGCAAATTGTTACTTACAGTGTACCTGTGAGTACTCGTAAGCAATCTACCTCATTTTTGCTCAATTTTTTTTTTTTTTTTGTATTGCTTAGTCTTGCTTATATTTTTTTGTTTTGTATTTCCATATCTTGTGTTTTGTATAGTCCATGTTTACATGTTTTTTCTTTAATCTCATTAATTGCCTAGGTTGCCTAGCCTAGCCATACTCCCTTACTCCATTGTACCCCTGTAAGCCCCTTTTGTGTTTGTTTTGTACAGTATTGTGTATATATTTTTCCCTATTTTATAGCTTATTTCTACTTATTTCTGATTCTACAATCAGCTTTTTTTATGCAGTCAAGTATAGACCCAGAACTTAACCTCTTATCCACTATCTATGACAATAATCACTTTAATGATCTAAATTGCAGATATTTTGCAGCACATGATGTAAACAATGTATTAACTCATAATCACAATATCTCTGTAATCAATTTGAATGTTAGATCCCTAGGGAAACACTTCGATGATGTTAGTGCCTTGATTGAAACTATTGGCAACAAATTCTCTTTTATTATACTTACTGAAACATGGTTGAAAGAGGATACTACTCAACTCTTTAACATGCCTAACTACTCAGCAATTCACAACTGTCGTCAACTTCAGAGAGGTGGTGGCACTGCTCTTTACTACCACCATGAACTAACATGCTTAAAAGAAATTAGAACTAGAGACTGCTATGGGGAGTATATCTTCGCCAGCTTCAGAGTCAAGGGTGCCGAGTCTGTCCTGTCTGTGGGTGCAGTCTATAGAATTCCCAACACTGATGTGTCTGTATTCAACTCAAACCTTAGAAATCTAATACTTGATAACAGACTGAACAAAAACCACCTAATTATCGCAGGGGACTTTAATATTGACCTCTGCGAGCCAGAACACCCTACTGCTGTTAGCTTCCTCAACTGTATGAATTCCTGCCTCCTCATACCCTTAATCACTAGGCCTACTAGAATCACTGATAGCACTGCCACGACTCTAGATCACATCTGGACCAACATAACCTCTCCCCTTACTTCAGGTATAATCACCGATAGCACTACAGACCACTACCCCACATTTCTCTTAACTAACATTAGCAAACCACCTCTAGAAACAAGGGAGTTAAGCTTTAGGCTGCACAATGAAACTGCTATAAACAATTTTATAACTGCTGCTGATAATGTCAACTGGGAGTCCGAGTTAGGTAACATAGGGGACATCAACCTAGCAGTGCAATCTTTTCTACAAACAACTCTTAGCCTTTATAACACCCACTGTCCTAGGCTTACAAAACAAGTCACAAGCAAAAGGCTTAACAATCCTTGGCTTACAAAGGGAATACTGAAATCCATTAACAAAAAACACGACCTTGAGAAGAAGTATAGGTTAGGAATTGTCTCCAAAGAATTCTCAAAGAATTACTCATTATTGCTATCTAAGATAATTAGACGAGCCAAAACTAAATACTACGAAGATAAATTTACTCAAATAAAGAGCAACATTAAACAAACTTGGAGCACAATTTCACAAATATTGGGATCAAAGAAATCTTTAAATAACAAACCGACTCTCCTGTCTAATAACGATGGTCAGCTTTCAGCCTCTGATTCTGCTATTGAGTTCAATAGGTTCTTCTCTTCCATTGGTTCATCCCTTGCAAATGATATTCCATCTTCCAGTACTGACATTAAGGACTATCTTACAGGTAACTATCCACAGTCTCTGTACCTAAAGCCTATTAACTCCACTGACGTCAATGAGATAATCCTTTCCCTTAAAACCAAGTCTGGTGCCCTTGAGGAGATACCAACTTTAATTTACAAAAAAGCCTCTAGATCTTTAGCCCCTGCTATTGCTTTGCTCTTCAACAAGTCACTTGAACTCCAAACCTTTCCAGATATTCTAAAAAAAGCGAGAGTAACGCCTGTCCACAAATGTGGTGACCCCACAGATGTTAACAACTACAGACCTATATCAATCCTGCCAAACTTGTCAAAAATTTTTGAAAAACTTATATACAAGCAGCTTTACTCATATCTAGCCAAACTCAATATACTTAGCCCTTGCCAATATGGCTTCAGACCCAAAAAAAGCACTAACGATGCACTTATTAGTATGCTTAACTCGATTCATACAGCTCTTGATAAAAAGGAGTTCCCTGTTGGGTTATTTGTGGACCTGCGTAAAGCTTTTGATACTGTCAACCACCATAACCTTCTTCTTAAATTACATCATTATGGAGTCAGAGGACACTCCCTACAATACCTCGAGTCCTACCTTACTGACAGGCTCCAATATGTTTCTGTGAATAATACAATTTCTCCCACCCTACCCATCAACATTGGTGTTCCTCAGGGCAGCATACTTGGCCCTCTCCTCTTTCTCATCTACATTAATGACCTTCCAAATGCCTCCCAATACCTCAAACCAATTCTATTTGCTGACGACACAACCTTCATTTACTCCAGTCCTGACCCTCTTGCTCTAAATGCCACAGTAAATACTGAGCTAAATAAAGTCCATCTTTGGCTAACTGCCAACAAACTCACCCTTAACATTGACAAAACCTTCTATATTCTGTTTGGCAATAAATCCTCTAGTCTTATAAATCTCAAAATAAACAATACCCAAATTTGTAACAAATTAGATGGCAAATTCCTTGGCATTCTCATTGACCACAAGCTGAATTTCCAGGGACACATTCTAAATATATCAAAAAAAGTTTCAAAAACTGTGGGCATTCTTTCTAAGATCAGATATTATGTACCACGCCCTGCCCTGGTGACTCTCTATTACTCCCTTATCTATCCTTATCTCAACTATGGTATTTGTGCTTGGGGTTCTACTACCCAAAATCACTTACGTCCTCTAATTACCCAACACAAAGCCGCTATTAGAACAATATCCAACTCTGGCCCCAGACATCACTCGATACCCCTACTCAAATCTCTTAATATGTTAGATATTAAGTCACTGCACATTCTCTCATGTGTATTATACATATATAAAACGCTAAACTATAATGCCAATCCTGATCTTAAAAGCTTCATAGAAGGTTGTAACAGAACCCATGAGCACCACACCAGAAATAAATACAGTTTTGATATTCCTAGAGTACGTCTTAATCAAACTAGAAATGCTCTGCAAATCAAGGGGCCCAGAATGTGGAATGACCTTCCCAACCATGTTAAAGACTGTACCTCTCTCAACCAGTTTAAGATAAAAACTAAACACTACCTAATAAATTCCCTGTAATCTACCTCACTCCTCTATTGTCAACCCATATCTGTTATTTTCTTTTTTAATCAACACTGTTTGTCAACCTATTGTATTTGTGCTGCTTTTTCAGTCATGTTCCCCTTTTTTTTTTTTTTTTTTTATCTTTATTTGTATTTGTTCTCAACACCTTTTATTCTTTATGCTCAATTAGTATTAAGTTCTAGATATTAATGTTTTTCTTGCCCGAAACGCATTGCGTAATAGTGGCTTTAGGCATTGTATGTACTAGCTCTATCTATATATCAATCCATTAATGTAACATCACTTGTATGTATATACCTTACCTGAATAAACATCTGAATCTGAATCTGAATCTGAATCAGTTAGAGCAGAGCAGAGAGCTGAGTGTGGCCGGAGTCGCAGAGCTCTATGTGGGAGAGCGTTGTAGCTGGATGTGGTCCTAGTCTGCTGCCTGTTCTGTGTCGAAGCTATAGCGTCTTGGGGTCGATTAGAACTGCATACGCCGAGTGCTACATTCTTGACTGTGGAAATTGTACTGTTGGCTATTCACTTTATGCTTGCTTACATTCGGTGACTACACCTTAGCTTCCTCCACTAGGATAGGAGGCTGGAAGAACAGTTACCTGTAATTAGGGAAGAGATTATAGCTTCTGCAATTAGTGCTAAGTAGTTACGCCATTAAGCTAAGTTGGAGTGAATATATTGTTTGTACTCACTACAGCATCTCTAGGTTTCCCGTTAAATTCTTAACTTTGCATCTGGCAGGCATTTACGGAAGCACGACTGAGGTGAGTGGTTTTAATGCCACGAACGTCATGAACGTCACGAATACTACGAATGCCACTGAACGTACTGGTAAGCGGTAACATGTTTAACAGGGGCCAGATTCACGAAAGCACTTACGAACGTGTATATCTTTTCTCAATCTTTGGCACCTTTGTTTCCAATTATTAAACAGTTAATGAGCTCCGAAGCACCAGGAGGCTGTTTATAACAATAACAACAGTTGAATGGGAAGTTTTCATGCTTGTAAACTGTTTTATAAATGTAACCAAAGCCGTCAAAGATTGAGGAAAGATATACACGTTCGTAAGTGCTTTCGTGAATCTGGCCCCAGATTGCTTTGGTTCTCTCCTCCCCCCTATTAATTTCGTTCTGTTTTTCTTTTCTTCATTGCCTTTATGTTAAGCTTCTTTTTTTCTTTAATAATTTTCTCTTTCTGTGTACACTTTTCTCTCGCTACCCAACACGGTAGCTGTCTGCTTGCAAAAGTGTGGGGCATAGGTCACTTAACACTTTGGCGCTTTCCTGCAGACCGTCGTTGTCACCAGTATTATTAATCACACCGCACGCGTGCCCCTCTCGGGAGTCACGAGCAAAAATATTTGTATAAAATCTATTTATTATCCGATCAACTTGGGAATAGTTTACAAATGTTTGCCATGAAATTTACGTTTTCTCTAATAGCCGAACAGCTTATTAAAGAAAACGGCGTGGCAGTGAATCATCGTGGTAAAACAATTGTATTATTGACACGACGAGTATAATCGACGTAGTTTTTATATATGTTGCCGGTCGAACGCATCCTTATGTGACCTTTAATACATATGTTCTTATAGAACATTCTGTTGCGAGCACATTGGTACAAAAATGAAATACATACATCGACAAATAATGTCAGGACAGTGAATTGAATATACACTTTTCAAAGCGAGTTTCGCCGATATGCCGCCGCGGGTAACACTTCGGCCACTTCCCACACTGTTTTGGGTGGGCTACGACATTGAATCTATATTTATATGCATATGTCCGTGTAGAGAATTTTATTGCGATTCCAATGATACCACAATTAGCGATGTAGGACAACTGTAGGCTTCGCAACCATTAAGAGAGTGGAAACATTTTGTTGCTGTTTGGCGCTCTCGGCTAGTGATCTGAATAGTTTTTTATTTGGTGTTGATAATCCTTATGCTTTGGCGGCATTTTATAGATATGTTCTTATAGACAATTTTATTGCGAACACAGTGATACTAAATTTAAATACGTGCGCCTTCAAATATTGTCAGGACAGTCAAAAGAGTGTACACTTTTTCAGTCTTACCGCGTAGGCGCGCGAAGCGCCGAAAGCATCTAGGGTATGATTTTTTTTTGAACGCCGAGAGCACGAAAGTGTCACTTAATTTGGATTTACCATTTACTAAAAGCCCCATTTCTAAGAGATTGCTCAATCCCTCTGCCCCACACAGCACCGCTCCTGTGCCATGTAAGTCTACTACGGGCTCACCATAGCCCGTAAGGGGGATAGAAATAGCCTAAGCTACTCTATCCCTTTGAGACGTATTTATTGCTTATCTCAATAAACATACTTGAACCATAGCCCGTGCTACTTGCAACTTTTTGTTCCGAGTTGCTGAATCTAAAACAACAACTGCCCAATCCTTTTAAAAATGCAGCGCAGTTATCTTTAAGGTTAATCTCTTTTACAGTGCAGACCGCTGGTATCGTAAGTCAACTGATAATAACTTATTGCCAGCGTGGTTGCTGTACTATGGGGATTTGTGCTGTGAGGTGAGCGGTGCCGTCTGTTCCAGCGATAACTATACCGTCTGCGACGCCTGCAGCTGCCACTGTCAGCTGTACGTCCACCGCTGTTTTCCCTGTCCACGCAACTCCTCGTTTCCATACTGACAATATATACTGATCACCGGTCATGAACCACGAAATCCATGCTAAGTATTTTACTCTCTTCATGCTTATTTGTATGCATTTCCTTGCCTTATAAACATTAAAATTATCTTACAAACTATCGTGTATCGTCTAATGTCATCTGACTCATTAATTTTTTTCGGTATGTTAAAAAGCTCGTCTGAGATTTAATCATGCTCAGATATTACAATATAAATATAAGGATGGTTAAACGGTTGTTATTGTGGACAGGAACTACACGTTCCAGGCGGACACAGGATGTGTAGCAGTGGATGGAGGGGGCCGTCTTCCCGACGAGCCGTGCGGCTCCCCGTCAGACTGTGTGGAAGGTCTCCACTGCAGCAACGGTACTTGCGCTTGTCCCCCGTAAGTGATCAACTGAAGCACAACTTTATAAATCGGTTTCTATATGCAGGCGATGAGTCACAATAACGTGGCTAAAGTATGTTGACCAGACCACACACTAGAAGGTGAAGGGACGACGACGTCTCCACAATCGACTTGAAAATGGTCCAGGACGGACCGAAACGTCGTCGTCCCTTCACCTTCTAGTGTGTGTGGTCTGGTCAACAATCGGTTTCTACTATAGTCGCTATAAGTCATCAATTAGAACAATAATAAACTGCATTCTGCACCCTTACTGAAACCCTTGAATGTTAAAATCACATGTTAAACGTTAATATAAACATTAATTACGACGAAGCCGTAAATGTCAAAAACGTTAAATTTTAAAATCCGACTGGAAAAGATCAAGGCAAAAAGGGGGGAAGGGACCTATAACAAGCCGCCGGCTTCCTGTCCTTGTCGAGGCCACTAGTGTTAGTGGCCCTCAGGTAAATTCAGGTTATTAAAGTTTGCTCCATCAAACCTATAGATATATTGTTGTCCCGTAACTCCCCTTGCCACTTCGGGGGGTATAAGGTGTTTTTATGTAGCTTCAGGGCACCAGTCTCCCCAGCCACAGGGCATGGCCAGAAGGCACACCTAAGCATACCTAATACCCTATCAAACACAAACTAAAATACACATCAATGGCAGATCTCATCACACCCCACAAGAGTTAAGATGATACTAATAACACACAATAATAACCTGAAAACATACATAAAATGGAAAATTCTTTTGTATTTGGTTTTTTCTTATATGGGACACAGCACACAATGGGAGAGGTGCACAGTATATCATTAAAAAAGAACTAACGCTGAAGGCCAAAACAGCAAGCTGCCTAAGCGGCAGGACTGTTGACTTGACATCGGCATACATGGAAAAATACTATTCATAGTGGAAGCTCCTAACAAGGCCCCGGAGCAGGAGGGATATCATGTATGCACATGGGGGTCCCTCCGGCCGCCGCCTTACCCACTCGTGGGCTTTGGCCAAGTCATCCACCCTCTTGTGGGACACCATTTGGAGAAGTGATACTCCAGATGACGACTCTGCTTAGATAGTTGGCTACCAGCTATCCTGGCTGCGGTTCACCTAAGCGAGACTATATTAGATGGACGCGCATTGCTCTATAGTCTCGAAAGGATCTGCCACAGTTTGGACGGTCTGGCGACCGGTCATTCATAGCCGGATCGTCATGTAGATCACCCATCGTGCTGACAGGGGTCAGTACGTCTCCGTAATGGTTTTCACAAAAATTTATGGGTGACAAGGCACGAAAACCCTTGACAGGGGCAGACGGCCTTTGGGATTGCTCAAACCAAGTGTCACTGACAAATGGCCCCTACTGCAGGTGGACGGAAGGTCCCCTTAGAGCAGCAGCAGGGGGGAAAGCCCTAGCTGTTTGCGTTACCAGGAGTGCCACGAGGAGGCCAGCTAGGGACTTTACACAGCTACCGCGAGCGATAACTGTGCACTATGTACTCTCTTAAGCATATACAATCGGAAGCGAGGAGCGTCTAAATCCAGATACCGTGGGAGAGAGTCATAGTTACTCCCAATTTAACTTAATTATTTTATGTTTTGCCCGAAATGCTATGCGTAAGTAGTTTTATTAAAAGTATATACTCTAACAATCGTATCATGTGTTTCTGTATATACTATTAAATATATAAATATATGTGTATCGTAATAATAATAATACAAGTGGTATTGAGTGGTGTGTGCGGCCAGGCCTTGTGTGTACGTGAGGGAGAGGCTGGAGTGTGACTGTGGACGAGAAGACATACTCTTGCCCATACTCACCGGCGTCATCCTCGGCATCGCTATCATCGTCTTCTGGTGCTTGATCATCTGCTTCACCATCCACAAGTACTCAACATTCCAGTTTAATTGATTAATGTGGGTTATGGCACTTTGTCCAAAAACAAGGGGCCGGATTCAGGAAGGTACTTACGAAGGTTTTTCCTCTTAGCTAAGAACGTTTTCCTTCTTAGTGCCTTCGTGGCGGCTACGTCCGTATTCAAGTAGCTACACTAAGTGTAAAAACCTTCGTAAGTTCATTCCGGGATTTAAGTGTGGTTTCGACCAAAGGACTGGACTTGGCTCATTTATTACTAGGCTTTCTATATACATATATATTCATACATAATTTAAGGATAAAAGCGTCTCTATGAATTATTACAGGGAATGGCGAAGAGCTGTTTTTATGTGTCAGTAATAAGTTTTATAGAAAATACTTCATCGTCATTAGTCTAACCTAAACAAAAATATGTTCATGTTCACAAACGTCTTTAACTAAAATTAATGTGCACATTTGAAAGCAATGCACGCACTAGCCTACCTCAAGGTAGGCTAGCGATAGAGTATTATTCCCTGCAATGATTCACAATGACGTAAGGTTGTTAGTTTAATTAGTTTATTGCTTAGCCCGTGGGCGGTGCCTTAAAAGTTACATTCTTACAGTAAGTTCATAAGCTGGACTGCAATCTCTGAAGCAGAGGTAATTCATTGTTTAATATTCTGAGTATTGTTAATTCAGGCACCAGGCGAGGAGAAACCACGTGACTAGGCTTGTGAGTATTGCGCCAGATAAGTCTATGGCCGGGTCCATCTACAGTCCTGAGAGCATGTTGTTCCCCGTCCTGCCCAAGTCCCACTCCTTGGGCCCAGCCCAGCCTTACCAGGGCCAGGAACTCGCTCCCATCTCTCCTCTCCGGCCACATTTCAGGTAAACATGATGGCGTTTGTGGGGGGGGGGGGTAGAAATAGCCTAAGCTACTCTATCCCTTTGAGATGTATTTATTGCTTATCTCAATAAACATACTTGAACTTGATGGTGTTTGACCGCACACTGCCACTCCTGTAGTGCAGTAGGCCTACTGGTCCGAGGAAAGTCCTATTTAGATCCAACAATTTTCACTCGTGTATCTATCCAATTGTTTATTTATTTTACCTCAATAATACTAACTGTCAATTTGTTTCATTCGTCTACTTTAATCAAACCTATATCCGCATTTACTAGCATTTTCACGGTAGAGCTGTACGCAATTTTACATGTATTTTCTGTGTCGCCTGTTTAATATTTTATGCGCCAAGGTTCCTTGGTTACTGTGGTCGACATTCATAATGTCCACACCTCTAAGTCTTAACCCTTCTCATCGTCCATGCGGTATTTGACAATTTCAACAGGTGGGCATTGGCCCTCACCTTTCACAGCTCACTGGTGTATTCTTTATACATTTTTACCTTCTAGTCAAACATTTACTAGAAAGACGTCTGTGTAGTAGTTTCGTTAATATCTCTATCTTTTCCAGTGTTACTTACATAGTCTCCCCGGCTTGACGCCTTCTCGTGATAATTTATTTATTTATTTATTTATTTATTTATTTATTTATTTATTTATATACAAGAAGGTACATTGGGTTTGTGAGAATACATAGCATAGTACAGTATTTACACTCTTGTAAAGCCACTAGTACGCGCAGCGTTTCGGGCAGGTCCTTAATCTAACAGATAATTTTAAGTAGGTAAATTCTGTCAGAATTAATAAAATAACAAATACATTGCAAGAAAAAAAAATGAGATGGGAGAGATTAGTAAGTATATTAAAGCACATTGGTATATTAAAGCTCTGATTGATTACATTGACAGCTTGATTGGTAATTTAAACAATAACACCATACAGCAGATTGACAGCACATAAGAAGACAGCAATGATCACAATGATAAAGATGTTCAGACTGGGTACATAAAGATTGGGTAGCAATAGATACAGTGCAATTTTAAAGCAAAAGGTAAAAAACTATGAAGATGAAATTAGGTACTTACTTCCATTGTTACTGGTAATTGAAAACTTGTCGTTTACAGGCATAAATCCATACCTGGCGAGTCTCCGTATCTCTTCTTCAACTCTGCTTTCGATTCAGCCCCTGAAATTCATCAGCCAGACTCTTCTTCCCCACACCATCAACAAAGTATCACAGCAAGCAACGAAACTTCTCACAGCAAATCGTCAGAGCCTCCGAAAAGTCCATCATCAGCACAGGAGGGCCGCAAATCGTCCACCACCCCCGCTGACACTGGAGACATCCCGCCGCCATACGTGTACCAACCTCCCAACTCGTCGGCACGAGTCTAGTTTGTCTGCAGTCTTTAACTGCTAGTCTGACTGCCTTAGCAGCAGCACATGGGCGATGTCGTCTAAATAAAATGTGTCAAATATATTCACTTAAAAATATGATTACAAATAAAAAGTGTGATAAATTATTTCGATTATAAGAAGGGCCCTGATTGTATTATACTGATTGTATTATTATTTGCTGTTTTGTGAAAGCTTTGTTATATTTTGTTAAATTTGTATTGAAAGAATATAAAAAGCAAACGTAAATCTCGTTTTAATTAATGAATCTTATAACAAATCTACAAAAACGAATGTCAATCTTGTTTATATGTCTGCTCAAGGCTGGCAGCATGACGCTTGTGGATAGCCTCACTCAAATCTGCAGGGTGACTAGTAGGGGTATGTGGCCAGCATGAGTGGGTCGGGTTGGCCTCAATGTTCCCGTGACGAACTACACGAAATTAGTAATCTGGCTGCCCTAGTCTTTAAGAGTTTCCTCACTTTACGACACCATCTAGTAATATAGAGTATACATGAGGGGAAATAAGGTATGGCATGGGCCAATAGTACTACAGCTTACCCATCTCTGGAGCAGTATATTTGATGGTCTGTTTTGGTCATAAAGATGGTAAGATGTAGTTATGTGTTGTCACATTTTTAAGTGACAAACCGGACAACATGGTAGTCTCCGACAGTTATTTGGCCCAACAGCTGGGCCATCAGCTGCTGGATCATCGGCCGGGACCACATCGGCCGGAACGTCAGCAACTGTGCTTGGCCCCCAGGGGCATGCTCAGCTGGAACACCACCGGAAGGGCCATCAGCTGCTGGATCAACGGCTGGGACCACATCAGTCGGGACATCAGCAGCTGTGCTTGGCCCCCGGGGGCAGCTCAGCTGGAACACCGCCAGCTGTGTCATCTGCTGCTGGATCATCGGCTGGGACCACAACAGCCGGAACATCAGCAGCTGCCCCAGGGGGGGGGGCTGGGCGTGGCCCCCAGGGGGCACGCTCAGCTGGCCCATCAGCTGCATGGGTCATCGGCAGCGTATCCACGTCGGCCGGTACATCAGCAGCTGTGCCCGGCCCGAAGGCAGCTGAGCCAATAGCTGCTGGATCATCGGCAGGGATCACATCAGCGGCAAAACAAATGAGTAGCGAAATTATAATAACCAGTATGATAATTGAATATGAGGATAATAATAAACAGGGGTCCGTCTAATTACCACAAGCCACCCAAGCCTCACAAAGCTTCAGAAAGCTCCCTGGCAATACGTTAGCAATGAATAAATATGATATGTTAGGTTAGGCTGACCTAACCTAACCTAACTTAACCAAACCAAACCAAACCTAACCGACGCTTGGAACGTCGACTTTATTTGGCGTCACCAGCTCTTTACTTTCGTCTAATTTCTTAATAAAAATATACTTTTTCAGATTAAAATTAAGTTTTCTCGTGTTGTACATTCAGCACCAACATTATAATGAGTAAATATATCACATGTATTCACCACCAACACAAACCCCCTGAAGCTCCGCGAAGCCCGCGGCAACCAGACGGACCGATAAACAGGGAACACGCCGGGCACTGGGGATATTCCTAAAACAGGGCGCCGCACAGGCGGGCGTGGAGGGAACACGGGCAGGACTGTACCTTAGGATAATGGAGATGGGCCGGCTGCTCTGGAACGCCTATGGCTAACACTGAAAACTTCACTCAATCTGTAGCCCCGTGTGGGCCGCCCTTGCAGGCGACGGGGGTGGCGTTGAAGGCTAAGTCGAAGGCGCATAGTCGACAGAGGTACTGGCGTCGTAGTCCACGTGTAACGGATGGCGGCGGAGCATTTAGTAGTGTATATGGCGAGGCGGAGGCGAGCCCTGTGAGTTTTGTGAGTACCTGCCAGTGAGTTTTCATATGTCCAAGCTGCCTGGACCTCTGTGCACGCTCTGGACACTCGTGAGGTTTAACACCTGGATGCAGTAACATATGGACTTCATACATCGAAGACGCCTGAATCTTTTCCCACATTCTCGACACTCATGAGGACGATCCTCCATATGAATAAATCTCCCGCCACACTCTGCACACTCGAAACGGCGTTCAACTGAATGCCTTAACATGTGTCTCATCATAGGGACAGGACGACCGAATGTCTCACCACACTCTGGACACTCGTGAGGATTTGTCTTCTGAATGCACGAAAAAGTGTCTTCATATGACGAAGCAGACTGAACCTCTTCCCACACTGTGGGACACTCGTGAGGTTTGGCATCTACACTTGTGGGGTTTGTCAGCCGAATGTAATAAAACATGAGTGGTCATACTTCGAAAATGCCTGAACCTCTTCCCACACTTTAGGCACTTATAAGTATTCTCCCCCGAATGCACTAACATGTGAGTCTTTATATTTACACGCTGACTGAATCTTGCACTCTGACTGAATCTCCTCCCACACTCAGGACACTCGTGAGGTTTGTCACCCGAGTGCACCATGTGAGTCTTCATACCTCCAAGCTGACTGCAGCTCTTCCCACAATCTGGAGACTTATGAGCTTTCACCTTCTTCGCGACAAGTGCAGAATATGTGAAGAATTTCGTGAGCACTTGGCGCTCAATGGTGATGCTCCATTATGATAGGCGCAGTGTGTGGGAAGGTTATACCTTAATGCTGATGTGTGGAAAACACAACACCAGCGTTTTGTAGTGTAACTGGTGAGGCGGAGGCGAGCAAGAGGGCACTGTGTCCGCGGCTTGCATTTAAGTACCCCACTCAGTGCGCGCGCGCGCTATGGAGCTTGGTTGTGCTCTGGGACTGTTTAGCTTTGTGGGGGTTGGATGAGATGTATACTTGCTAGGCTTAAGGTTACACAACTGGTCGGGGTCCAGTTACACAACTGGTCGGGGTCCGGTTACACAACTGATCGTGGTCCAGTTACACAGTCGGGCTCCGGTTACACAACTGGTCGGGCTCCTGGGTTTCACTTGGGCTTCAGGTTGTGCATTACCCTCTTTGTGTAATGAAATTTTAAAATAAAGTTCGATATATATATACACACACATACTAAAAGAATAGGGGTGGTAGGAGAAGAAAATATAAAAGTGTTCAGTGAGGATCCACAAGGTCTTCTCTGGGTACTCTATATTTTCTTCTCCGAGGCTATGGGTCCCTACACTTGCACCTGAGGTGGTACCCCTTTTAGGTTAAAAAAAATATACGTATATTAAACAAAAAATTGGGCTACTCTTATTACAAATTCGCTACTTTTAGACCGTCAGCTCGCTACTTTTAGCGATTTGTACCTGGCAACCCTGGCGTGAGGCGCGGCGGCCACCACGTGAAGCTGCGACTCTCACCTCCTCTACACCTCGCCACTATGAGGTCATTCATCCCAAACTTTGTGAGTACTCCCTCCTGCTGTTACTCTACACTCCGTCCACTAGAGGAGCTTCCTCTAGTTCATGGCCACCTGCCCTAGTGGGAGATGAGCTAGGGGGGCGAGTTGGCCTTTGGGGGACAGTCTGGGGGGCAATCTGGGGTAGTTTCGTACATGAATAATTATCGAAAACACATATGAGTTAATATTTTATGGTTATATGAATTATTGGTTGGTTAGGTTAGAGATTGGGTCGTTGGTTCACAAGTTGCTGTGGTTTAAGTTATTCCTTCAAACATGGAATACAGACCAAGATACAGAAAGTACACTTGTTGAGGGTAATGAGTAATTACCTATGGACCCAATAGGGTATAGTACAGGGTACAAGTCACGTCGTACACGAGGCGATTAAATAAATAAATAAATGTTTATTTAGGTAAGGTACATACATACAAGAGATTTTACAAAGTTTGTTGGAAGGTACATACATACAAGAGATTTTACAAAGTTTGTTGGATTAATAGATAAAGCTAGTACATACAATGCCTAAAGCCACTATTACGCAAAGCGTTTCGGGCAGCTACGGGTTTTGAAGCCTTGCAAACCTAACTTCTTTACTTATTTTTATTTTATATATACAAGACTTGTTACATTCTTGTAAAGCCACTACTAGCAAACATAGCGTTTCAGGCAGGTCCTTTATCCTAATTTTACACACAATATGACCCGCCAAATCGTTTTAACAACCAGGTACCCATTCACTGCTGGGTGAACAGAGGCAACAGTTAAGGATTGTCACCCAGTCAATATCCTCCCTGGCCAGGAAATGAGCCCAGGCCAAAGCGCTTGCAAAGCATTGGGCGAGTGCTTTACCACTGCACCACAGGGACTGAGAACTCGGCCTAACCCAACAACATAACCAACTTAACCTAGTGTGAAGGGAACTGAGCCCAGTACAACCTAACCTAAGCTAATACATCCTAACTTACCAATATATACAGTTTTAACAAACAGAAAATAAGCTTGGTCAAATCATCTTGTGTATGAAATGGGTCTCTGCCAGCTTTGTTTTATAATTTTGTATGGATAATACATAAAATTAAGTTATGATTTGTTTGGGGAGATTTTCTCGACTTTTGTACCCTTGAAGTAATTCTAGATCATAATTTAGATACACACGGTTTTTGTTGTCAACTGAAAAGTGACTAATTCCGACTTCGTTCTTCATATTTATGAGAAAAATTTAACACAAAAATCTCAAAAATACACTTGCATATAATTAGAATTATCCTATTTATCACTGTCTTTTGCAGTTATCCCTGAGTTATCTTTGGGTTTTGCAAAGCCCCAGTTCAAGAAATGCTGGGTTAAGGTGTGACCATATAATTAATTCCTATTGTTGGGGACCTGAAGAGCTGTGTATGTAATTCAGGCTTGTATCGAAGACCCCCAAGGTCGAACTACGGACCTTCCCCAGGATGCAGCCCCACAATAGTTCCCTAACTCCTAGGTACATATTTACTGCTAGGTGACCTCGGTGATCTATGTATCATCTACATAAATTGGAGATAGCATAGGATTGCAAGGGTGACAGAGCTACAACTGGATACGCTCGCTGTATCGTCCTCATAGGTGCTGTATCACTTGCATCCGACCTTTGTGATAGGTTCTTATTGCGCCTAGCTTCACCAATATTATGACCCCTTATGTTCTTCAAACAATAAGGTTTGAATTCTACCGATAGAGCGTTATCTTTCAACACCGCATCAGACAGGTGTTTGGGAGCCAGAGGCGCGTGCGCCACCCGTGGTTGCTCACTCAGAACTAATCCAGCCAGCAGCCCTAGGGCATTCTGGGATTTTTTTCCAAGAAGGCTGCCTCTCACTGGAAGTCCTAAGAGTCCATTTCATACACAACCAACCTCGCACACATTTCGAATGTGTACGGAAAAATCAAAGAGTTTTCTCGGTTGGCGCAGTTTCCCGCCGACCATGAATACTCGGTTGGTGCAGTTAAGTGGTTAAGGTCCTCATTTTTATCGTACCTAAGTTCCTGGAATTTATCACTGTTAAACATGATGTAATTTTCTGATGCCCAGTCAAAAACTTTATTAATATCAGCTTGAAGTTCTTCAATGTCTTCAGCCGAGGTAATTTTCATACTGATTTTTGTGTCATCTGCAAAGGATGATACGAAGCTGTGACTTGTATTTTTGTCTATATCAGATGTGCGAATAAGGAAAAGTAGCGGTACAAGGACTGTACCCTGAGGTATAGAGCTTTTAACTGCTCTGTACCTCGCTATTCTGTTTAACTTGACCTAGATTTTATATGGTTGACCGTTACACGCTGAGTCCTGTTTGACAGAAAACTGAGTATCCAGCGTCCTACTTTACCGGTTATTCTCATTGACTTCATTTTGTGTGCTATCACGCCATGGTCACATTTATCGAAAGCCTTTGCGAAGTTAACTTTCAGGTGAATATTACGATATATATCTCTTGTTTCCATTCCAGGGAATACAGTATAGTACACTGAGACAGACCCAGTAGGTTAAAGGTTGTATTAATTCTAAGTGAGCAGTAAAGGGTCCCCTATGTTTTCTTACTTGGATATCTTGCCTGCGAAGAAATTTGATGTGAGCACAGAAGTGTTCCATTTGAGATTGCCCGTTTCTCTATCATTGACATAAGATTCCTCATTATGGAGGTTCTCATAATCCAACTTATCATATTTTTGCTGGTATTATGTTTGTGTTGCTGCTGTGTTCACTAAATATTAGGTCATTGACATTATTATTACTAAATCCTTTACTTGTTGAATTCATGCTATGGAGAAATTGGATAGCATTTTGTATCCTGTATTAATTTTAACTTCTTACATGTACAATACAGTTGTTTTGTGTCTTGTAGGAGGATCCCCCTGAATCCGATGATTCAAGTGACGAGGTTCCTCCCGGGGGTGTTTTCCAGATGGTGAGTTTGGAGGATGAGAATGATGAAACAAGTGAAGAGGACAATAATGCCACACTAGACTGTAATGCAGACAGTCCTGGCAGTAAAGCGGATGAAGATAATGAGGTTTGTAATGAAGTCTGCTACTTTTTAAATTACTGATTTTCAAATTGCTCTAATTGATTTTGTTCTTTATTGATCATCTGCTAATGATATTATCAAGGTATGTAGTATCGAATACAGTACAGGGAAGGTGAAGGAAAGACCCAATACCTGTGTAAGTGAATTAAAACTAAATTTTTGGATGAAACCTACACCCTCTATCAAGGTGCTGTAAACAGTGTTTTGCAGAACATTGTTTACAGCACCTTTTTCCTTCACATTCATTCAAGCATTACAATATTGTAGTAAGTTTCTTCATACAATACAGTATTGTACACACGTTCACCATACATGATACATAGACCCCTCCCACACTGTTTACAACATACATTTGACCAGTTATTGAGTTCTCAGCCCTTGCTTGGAGCTTTCACTTCAAAGAGCATAAAAGGAAAATTGAAAAAGTATAGGGGTTTGCTACAAAACTAATCCCCAAATTGAGAGAGTAGAAATATAAGGTCAGACAGAGGAAGTTAATGATGTTCTTACTGGAAAGAACTAGAAGTAACATTATCCTGACATAAAAAGTACTTAAGGAAAAGTTTTCCAGTAACCAGTTAACCTAAGTAAGTTGTTTGTGTTAAAATTTGATTTAAACACTTGTGGAAAAATTTGAAAAGTATGAAAAGCAGGTAGAGACCTTTATTTACATAATTATGCAACAATTTAGTCTTTAACTGCAATGTACAGCAGTTAATTGCCATGTTAACTGCAATTTTTTTCCCCAAATACCCAGTACTGTATGTTGCTGCTGGATTTACAGTGATTTACAGTTCCATCAGTAAAAACTTGTATATTATAATTTGTATTATACCCATCATCCTTCCAACACTAATGCCCAAAAGTTTGCCCCAGTACAATACAGTACTTGTGATTTTAAACCTAAACAGATGTTAAATTTAAATCGCTATATAGTATTTCATCTCATTCAACATGAAGGCAATGTAATATTTTGGACAATAAATGTGTTTTATAAATTGTTCACCAGTTTTATTGTCATTGCAGGATGATAACATGAGTGAGGCGGAGTTAAGTGGTAGCGATGAGGTGGATGTAAGTACAGTACTGTCTCTGGGTAATGTGAGGAATGTCCTTTTTTTTAGACAGAGGAAAGGAAATGGAAGAGGAAAAAATATTGGGAGGGAAGGAGTGGGTATGATGAGTAGACGGAAGGGAGCAGAAGGGAGGGAAGGAGTGGGTGTGATGAGTAGAAGGAAGGAGGAAAGGATGAGTGTGGTTGGAGAATGGAGATGAGGAAAGAAGAAAAAAGTGCTGGAAGAGGGGAAAAAACAGTGGGGTGTGTGTGAGATGAGGAAATACTCTAAAGAATTCATATAATTATTAATAAGGTAGAAATTGTAATTATAGAAACTAGGAAATCTTTGAGAGAGAAGCAAACTTTTAAGGTAGACTAAATGAGTGTACAATTTGTTCAGCAAAAAGTAAGAATAGTACAAGTAGGATGTAGATTAAGCATTGTAAAGTTATTTTTACTTTTTTAACTTGGCCCATTTGTTTTATGCCTTCTTTTTAATAATTTTTTGTTTGATAACTTTTACCAGACGGACAGTTCTTCGAGCTCGGAAGCAGAAGCGACCATGGAGGAAATATTTGGGATTAAACCCTCAATAGAAGCACAGCGAGACCATCCTCCTGATCTAGAAGCTGATTCAGGAATTGTGGATATATGTTTTCATCCGTGCAGTGAATTACTGTCGGCTGCAACCATGGATGGAGAGGTCATGATGTAAGTATTTTGCAGTCATGTTACTACTGACAAGCCTTTCTTAAGAGTTAAGCACAGGGAGAATATAGTGATAATCTCTGTTTTTTCTTAAAATAATAGATTCTTGGAAATATTTTATTGTCCAAAATATTGTACATGTCTCATTTTGAATGAGATATATTGAATGAGAATGAGAAGTAAAATACATAATATATATGTATGTATATTTGTGAGTTTGGCATTATATAATAACTATTAGTATAATTTTCTGGGGGGAGCCCCGTCGGCTCCCCGGAGCTATCCAGGCTGAATGGATATGCATAACTTTCTGGCATCAGTCAAAGTGCTAGGAGTTCTTGCCTACCAGGGACCACGAGCCAGAACCTGGCCCCCTCAGAGAGGCATGAGGAGCAATGGCCTATAGAAACCCCCTTGTGGATGGGAGCATTCTATGCCTGCCATCGACCAGGATAGGCACCCAGAAAGGTAGGCGCCCCAAAACAAACCCCTATTCTGGTGAAAATATTGCTACCGTAAGCCGAACGAGTGGACAGAACTCCCCAAACAAAATTATCAAACTTTCCGGGTTCATCGTCTGGGACCGTGTCCTGTCACCTCATATTGGGTGGTGCTGGCGTAGCCGCTCCTGCTTGCGTTCAGTGTGGTGGTTCCTTCTGCTCCGTTCTGCTTGCTGTCCTGGGTGTTGTTTCACCCCGGCCTGCTCTCAAGTTCTGGTGCCATCTTGGTCATTGGCCTGGGTGGTCTATTTTCTTCTCGTTTTGGTCTTTGGGTTGCTGCTTGGTTGGTCGGGCCAGGGGGGGGGGGTGCTAACTTTGTTGTTCGGTTGTGACTTTTTCACTGTTCTCTGCGCATCTTGGCCTCTGGGGTCGTGGACACATTTTGGTTGTTCGCGTTCCCTTCTTCCCTCGTTCCTGTTTGGGGGGTTCAGGTCTGCAGGGTGTTTGTTTCGTCTGTGGTCTTGGTTTTTTTAGGTTAGGGCACGTGGTGTCCGCCTCCTGGATCCTTCCCTATTTTCCTTATCTGTGGTGAGGTAGCTCTGGGGAGCCGACGGGGCTCCCTCCAGAAAACCAGCGTTGAATGTAATGAAATGCCATTTTCTGGGTGAGTCCTGGAGGCTCCCTGGCATCCCTCCTTCCCTCCGGTCAGCGGCGTTTTTCGCGTATTTTGACATCCAGCCAAAGAACTGCCAGTTGGATCGCCGGCGTGGAGGGTCTGGGGCTCCCCCTTCCCCCTCTCGGGGAAGTTGCGCAGATGGTGGCGCGGCGACGTGATGACATCATGCTAGTTTGATAATTTAGTTTGGAGAGTTCTGTACACTCGTTCGGCTTTTGGTAGCAATATTTTCACCAGAATAGAGGTTTGTTTTGGGGTGCCTATCTTTCTGGGTGCCTATCCCAGTCAATGGCAGACATAGAATGCTCCCAACCACAAGGGGGTTTCTATAGGCCATTGCTCCTTGTGCCTCTCTGAGGGAGGCCAGGTTCTGGCTCGTGGTCCCCGGTAGGCAAGAATTCCTAGCACTGTGATGCCAGAAAGTTATACATATCCATTCAGCCTGGATAGCTTTGGGGAGCCTCCAGGACTCTCCCAGAAAATGGGCGTTTCATTACATTCAATGCTTTTTTTTTTTTTGTTGATTCAAAGTCATGAGTATTTTAAAAAATGTCATATAAGTCAGA